ATTTCCCAATTGATTTCTGTGTTCAATTTAAGGCTGTTTTTAATTGATTTTGCATTTGAAAGTTTAATTGAAAATTGTACCTTGAAAATCAATGTATTATATTGAAAAAAAGGCCTCTTCAATAGAGATAAAACCCTATTGATTACAATCAATAGCCGATGCTCAGGGTAGCGGCTCCCTCCCTTCAGGATCGCCTCCTTCGCCACCGAGTGGATTGCCGCCAGCCCCGACTTCTCCGGGTTGCTCAAGATGACCGACCACAAGGCAGTGGAGACATCCCCCAGGCCGTTCGAGGAGCTGAAGCGCATGCGGGGGGTGCTCGCGTCGCCCAGGACCAGCCGCTCATCCCTGGGAGGCTCCGTTGGCTCCACCCTCTTGTAGAACTCCATCCGATCACGGATCCACTGATTGTACAGCTGCTCCGGGGGCTCGTCCATCACCAGCTGCAAGCAGGTGGCCTTATCCTTGTGCCACCCCGTGATCTGGAGCAGTCTGGTCCCCCCGCGGCTCGCCTTCCAGAAGCCCTTGCAAAATCTGCACATATAGCCCCCCGTGGTCTTGAACTTTTCCTTGCTCACCACTTCCCAGGCACTGATGCTTGGCAAGACCAAGCCACACTCCACGGAGGCCCAAAACACATGCTTCGTCTCCTTGGGGAAGTGCTTGTTGATGTACTTCCGGCCCGCAACCGCCGTGACCGTGGCCGTGGTGATGGGCGGGTACCGCCTGGTGCCCTGGTCTGGTGTGCGGAGCGTGGTATCTGCCCCCCCCATGACCTTGGCCTTGGGGTCCGCCTCCTTGGCCGCTCCCCCCCCGGGGCCAACGGCACCCAAGGGGGGGGAGCAACCCAGCTGCCGGATGAGGTCCTGGGAGTAGCCCAACCTGTCATACAAGGCCCCCGCCGCCTCCTGTGGGACCTGCTCGACCCAGTCGTGGACCACGTTGCAGCGCCAGTTGACCTTCACCTCCACCATCGACGACTTGCTCAGGCCCGCCACCAACTTGGTGTAGACCGAGTCGAAGGCCTTCAGCGCGGCCAGCGGGAGGGTGATCCGTTCGTCGCAAACTGCCCTGAAACGCAGCGCCTCCTTACTGTCATGGATGGGGGCCACCGGCATTTCCATCACGGGCAACGGGCAGTTGACGATGAAATTCTTTGCCGCCCGAAATGTCCCCATCTCCTTGAAAATGTAGCTCCACTCCTCCTTGTTGCGCGGCTTGGGGATGCCCAGGCTCTCCAGGAAGGGCACCGCCTCCTTCCTCATCTGGAGGATGTTGCCCATCCATTTGTCCGAGGTCGAGCCCTCCGCATTGCGGCCCCGGCGTTGCGTCTTCACAATCAACGGGAAAGTGGTCCAGGCCGAGTAGATGTACTTGAATGTGAACCTGTGGGCGTAAACTCCCGTCAGGCTCGGCAGGTCCCACGTTCTCGGCTGTCTGGTCCAGAACACCCCATCACCTTTCGCCCAGAAGATACCAACCACCTGCTCCGGCGCCGGGCGCTCACCCCGGTTCACCTGAGCTCGGATCTCCAAGGCCGTGTAGATGACTGGGTCGATGTGGTCCTGCTCGCACGTGAGTGGGTGAGTCCTGCGCTCAAGGGCCAGGAGCTCCTCCGGCGCGAGCTTAAACTGCTGGTCAGCGCCTTGGGGGATCTCACCGCTTGCGTGCTTCTTCCAAATCCCCCCAAACATCCGGAGCTCTCCCTGGTGCCGCTTCATTGCCCAGAGGATAAGGGACAGCTTGCCATCCTCAGAGTCCAGGTCTTGCTGTGACATTGGCTGGTCCCCCCCGGGGCCGGTGGCATTTTTGGGGGGGGCCGGTGCCACCAGATCGGGCATCTCTTCCAGCAGTGCCTCCTGGTGCCATGGGTTCTGCGACGCTCTGAGCATCCTGATGTAGGGGACATACTTCTCCTTGATGTCCCCACCTGGGGGATGTCCTCGGGGTCATGCAGCTCCAGGGGGCAGAATAGGCCCCTCTCCAGGGCCCGCCTGAGATCATTCGGCCACGCCGACACTTCCAAGGGCTTGAGAGTGTGGTTGAGCATCCATGCCTGGTTGGTGTCCTGGGTTCGCTTGTTTGCCGCCTGAGCCTCCTGAATGGAGCCCATCGCCTCAGCCAGTGCCTGGCTGGCGTCAACGCCCTTCCCCTCCAAGTACTGGTCTCTCAGCTTGGCCTTGAAACGCTCCAGGTTGACCTTTCCTGAGGGCACGGGCTCCCTCATTGGCCACCTCCTCTCAGGACGGCAGGGCCTGCATGCCCTCCTGGAGAGGCGCCAGGATAGCCATCTCATTGTCCAGCATCTCCTCCGTGACCAACTCCTTGTGCCGCCGCCTGACCAAGGCCTCCTCTGGAGTCGGTTCCCGATTCTCCCGCAAGGCCTTGTGCAGCTCCTCCTTCTTCCTGATCGCCTGGTCCACCTGGGGGTGGTAGAGCTGGAAGCTCTGAGCCTCCGCCTCCTTCAGGGACCGCTGCACTTTGACCTTGATCTCCTGACTCTCCCGGACCTTCAACGCCTCGTCGTCCGCCTCCATGGACAGGATCTCCTGCCGGATGTCCACCCGCCTGTTAAGCGGGACCGCATCTGCCATGGTGATCTCATCTGCCGTGTCCGTTTTCGTGCACTGGAGCGTCTCCGAGTGGCATTTGCCACACCGACTTCCGGCTTGGGTGCCCCTGGCCCCGCCGAGGAGGGCGACAAGGACATGGGGGATGCGGACGGCACGGAGCGGACCACACCACCGGAGGAGGCGCAGACGCCACCCACGAAGAGACTGAAGGGCTTCGGTCTCCTTGGTGCCGGTGGACGGCAAACCCGGGTACTTCAAGCTGGTGGACCTCCCAGACCTGTTTCCAGTCCTTCCAGCGTCGGCGGCCACCTTGCTGAGAGACATCTCGGTGGAGGAGGCGGTCTCCCTGTTCCACAAGTTTGTCGGGAAGAATCTCACCGAGAACCTGGTGATTCGCATCCTGGAGGCGTATGTCCCGATGAAGATCCAGCTCCGCCAGGAGGAAGTCTGGGCTTCGCAGTTCCAGAGGAACAAGGCGTGTATCGGCACCCAGCGCATGCACAGGCTCGATGCAGGCCATTCCCGATTACAAGTTCATGTGCAAGGCATGCGGCACGGGGTGGCCAGAGGCAGCCAAGCAGTGCTGGGTCTGCCCCGGCAAGGAGTTCGCCCCCTTTCAGGCACCCTTGGCCACCTATGAGGCGGACGGCATCACCTACAACCTGCTCATCGTGGAGGGCAAGCCGACCTGGATCCAGCAGCGGGAATGGGGAAGCCTGGGTGCCGTTGGCCCCGGTGGTACCCGGGCACAGGCCGACCGCAACTTGGTGGACGGCACGGTCTTGGGGAGAGCCCCTCCTGAAGAGGTCCTTCATCACATCGGTCGCCGAAGATGACGGGGGGGCCTCGGGCTCGTCCAAAACCAAGCCGCTCCTGGCTGGCCATTTCAACCTCCTCCACGGTGAGTGTCTGGTCCTCAATCAACTCAAAGGAAGTTGCCGAGGTTGCCGAGGAAGCCATTGCTTGGTCGGGGTTAAGTTCGAAAATGCTAAAGATCAAAGTTTTTCAAACAGCTTGGGTTCCAGGAACCCAGAACAATGCTTGAGCCAAAATGGCACATGCCATTGTGGTCAAGCATTCCACACACAGTTCATGTTTCCACATGCGTTTCAACATTAACAAAGGAAACTGCTACCAGCTGGCATCTGGCGCAAGCAATCAGGATTGACTGTGAACAACCCAGGAGGGCACTATATGCTTCATGACCCTAGATGTTTAAGAATATGAGTGTACTTTCATGTACTTTCCCCTAACGAGAAGGGTGCTGCTCTTCATGGGGCAAGCTTGGGACACAGGGTCCTGTGGCCTCCGTGGGGCAAGTTTCGCATATGCTCAGGCCTTGAGGCGTCCTGCGTTGCTCCCAGCCCCGAGCAAAAAGTAAGGGAAAGACCTTTTGAAGTGGACAAACAACATTTGGCCGTGGCTCCAAAACATGTATCAAAATGGCACCTTGGTACATGGAACCAAAGACTACTGTATTAACCCTAGCTCTTTAATTTTGAGCCACACCCGGTAAAATGGTTGACCGGAACCATGGTAAGGAAATACAAACGCGGCCTGATTGTCCCTTACTAACCTTCATCTACCCAGGTTCTAACTGTGGTAGACGTCTCTCCGTGGCGATTTGGTCACACCCTAACCAGCCACGTTCGGCCAGGAGCTCGTTTGCAATCTAACCAGGGGATGTTCGGCCTTTGCCAACTGAATTGCAACCCACGAGGCGACAATCCATGAGGACTTACAACTTAGGGTTGTAGAGGTAAGCAATCTAACTTAGCCAAGCATCCAAGCATGAAACCTCTTCGGACCCCTAAAAAGGCCAGCTCTGCATAGCTCTCAGAGGTAAAACGCCCCCCCCCCCCCCTGACAAAATGGCCAAAAGCGGTAGCCTCGAAACAATAAGCCCAACAGCTCTGCCCCCCCCCCCCCCAACATTGCCTGAACCGAATCTGCGGAACATTGCGGAACCCTCGCACTGAAAGCTGCCCCAGACTACCCCAGAGCATATCTGGGCAAAGACCCCGCATCAGGTAACCCTTTGGTGCTTTGGATTGGCTTAGATTTAGATTTGAACCCTTGCCTCTGGTAGAGGTGAATGGGAAACCAGCCTGGGAACACCAAACCACCGGCTTCAAAACAACCTTTCTGAGGGAAGCTGTCGCCATAGCTTTCAGCTCTGGGTTCAACAAAAACAAAAACAAAGCCCAGGCCATACTTCCCTGGAACCAAAAATCTCCAGAACCCTCCCTGAAACTAGGTCCTCCAGATTTGAGAGGTTAGAAAAAGTTACCCACTTTTTTATTTCTTGTCGATTTTAGTAGGGTCCCGAACCCTCCCAACCAAAGAAGAAACGGTAAAAGTTGGCACCTAACAGGGGGGTGACCTAGGAAAGCTGCCCCGAAGGAGTCCATTTCTGGGCCCCGGCGCCGGCCACCGTGGGCACCGTCGCCAGCTGCGCCGCCGCCTTCGCCTCCGGCCCGTGGACGGGCACCAGGGCGACCTCGCCTGGGTCTCTCGAAGCAAAACCCAGGGGTCAGCGGAGAACTTTGGTTCCAGGTTGCATGAAACGCCCTTAACCTTTTTCTGAGGGCTTTTGTATTACACCCTGGGATTACACCCTTGGGCCGTATTCCCAGGGTGTAATACAAACACCCTTAACCTTTTTGGGTTCCAACTGTTGGGCTCATTTCATGAAACTAAGTGTCTTCAGCGCCAAGATGTGACAATCGATTGCTGAACTCAGCACTCCAACCCCCGGTTCGGACGACATGAAAGGTTCACAGCGAGTCGTCTTCTGACCCGAACATTGGAGTCATGATCCAACTTAAAAGGCTCAGACGGGTCGCAGAAACGCATGGATCGCATGCGACAGGGAAGCGTCGGAAAAACCTACCTCTAAAAACGGCCGCCTAGAAGCCGAACCTCGGGCTACATGGTGCCCAAAGCGCATTGATTTGAACCAAAAAACGACGATGCAACGGGGCTTGGAAGGTTCAGATAAGGAAGCCTGATGTCTCATCCGTGGAGCAAAGACTGGGTGGTCAATGGAAACAAATCAACATAGTGCGCGGAGTGGCTGATTTTTTTTGGCTCCTCACAAAAGACTTGTCCGGTTGCCTTCATTCGTGGCAACCTTAGGCCAAACTTTTAGTGGAGGGCCGGGCTGGGAACCGCCAAGTTAGTGTCTCTGAAAGAAAGCGAAGGTAATGAAGATCTTCCATTTCGCGGATTCTCCTGTGATCTGGAATAAAAGAAACAAACAGGTACATACATTGCAAGTGAGGCGCCAAGTCGGAACAAAAACAACAACTCGAATGCACGTTGATTTGCGGGTGGTTTACTTGCTAAGGAAATCCATCTAAACGAGCTTCTAGATGCCAAAACTCAATTGCTGGACTCTCTTTTGCACGCTTTCAACAGTCCAGGGAGGAAAGTTGGATTCGCCATACAGGAACAATCCTAGGAATCAAAACCTCCACCCATTGCCCCAAATAGACGCAAAACAAAACATTGCCCCAGCCATGGATGTCGACCGGTCAAAGACCCGTTGGGCCCCATGGAAAACCTGAGCAAGGCAGGTGTGGAAGGGGCAACATGACAAGGGAGGCTTCCGTTTGCTTCAGTTCACTTGACAAAATGAGAAAATGTTGTCAGTAGTGATAGATTCCCTTTAAAACCAAGAGGGGAAAATCGAACATGTGCTTAAGCAACTGCATGGAGGCAAATGGCTTGCTTTGGCCAAGTAGCCGCTGTCTCACATGGAAGTACACAGGAGGGTGTTGGACCATCCTCTAAATGGCCCAAGCGTCTAGGTCCGTGACCCAATGTATACCCGGGTACACCAGGAAAAAGGTCAAACGATGGCGCCATCCCGAAGCCGCTCCCGATCCAAAGGAGAAAACACTCTCTTCCGTAAAGCCAAGCCAGAACCCCTGAAATGTACAACGGGGAAAAAAAAAAAAAAAAAAAACACGCATCTAAGTCGTAACAGCTTTGCGCTATGCACAACACAACCAAGCAAGAAAACACATCGAACAAAAATACTCGAAACAAGAAATAAAGCCAGCAACGAAACACGACATACCTCCAAAGAATCAGCGATGAGAAACAACTGAATAAGGTTGCAGCCAGAGGCGCTTCGCACAGGCAAACCCACCAAGACTGGTTGAAACTTGGAGCCCAGACACACATATATTAATATGCTGGTTGAAAGGGCCAATGAAGAAAACCAACAAGGTAATGAGTCAAGGCACCTCTGGTGTTGCAATGATCAGGGGAACCTATAGGTATGTGTCAAAATAGCATCTGGGGGCCACGGGAAAAATCAGATGTTATGTCTCTATTCCACATTCGGTCTACTCGAAGATTTTGTCATGTGTTTGGAGAAGACCCCAGTATTGGCCACTCCATCCGGTGGAGCTACTAATTTCTCCCTGGGTTCATTATATTTTTCTTCTATTGAACCAACACCTGGCCCGTCTAGAGCACATATGTCTGATTCACAGCTGGACCCCAGAACCAACCAACCAACCACCCACCCACCCACCCGCCCACCCACCCACCCACCCACCCACAGGCGCCCAGGGAGGCGTCGAAGGCATCGCCGCACAGCAGCTGCAGCTCGTCGGACCGAAAGCTTCCTCAGGTCCCAAGCTGAATCCGGGCTGCCCTCAGATCCCCCGCCACAAGTTTTTCACTTTTGGTGAGATCCCCACTGAACGCCAAAAGGCGAAAAAGCTCAGGGGATGGCTGCGAGCCACTACGGAATTGGATGAACGAGGTCAACCTCCAAAACCCCGCCTGTGCGTGCACGGGTTTTGTAACGCAGGAACGAAGAGTACCTCACTTGCCAAACGGGCCGGGAAATAAAAGGTGATCACCTTTTGGGACCTTGACTAGTAACAGACCAAAAAAGCAAACACCAAGTGTCATTTCGGGTTGATTTGCTTTCACAAGGAACTTCTGCTCACGTTTGCCATGTAAGCCACCAGGACGCTTCTGAAGGCAATGGACTTGGACCCTCTGAGGTGCCGTGTGGATGGGAGAATAACTAGGTCCTCCAGTAGAGAGGTTAGAATATAAGGGTACCAACTTGTTTTTTTTTTTTTTATGTAGTCTATTTTAGTAGGGGAACCCTCCCAACCAAAAAACGGGTAAAAGGGCACTACTGGGGAACCTAGATGACTAAAACTCCAAAGAGTTTGTATGGACCGCATAATCCCCATGATGCTCCTATTGAGCGGGGGGCCGGGGTCACTGGATGCCTCTTAAGTTGTTTTTTTGTTGGCGTTAGTTGAAACTCACCACTTTGGAGGAATGCCCTGACCCTTCGAAGCCACGTTGAACCTTCAAACTTTACGACGTTTACGTGTCTTGGAGGTAGCTTGACGGCCCCCAATGTAAACCCTCAGCAGAACATTGAAAGTGGATGGTGAGACTCCTCTTTAAACGAACTCCTTTCGCTTCCCCTTGCCGGGGTATGCTTCAACCAATGTATATCTTGGTTCACACTATGAACAGACATCTTCCAAGAGGACAAGCAATGGCCCGACTACAGAAAATCTGAACCAAACAAATCCCAGCAACATTGCCTGCGCGGGTGTTCGGGCAAGTTAGTAGCTAGTATCCTTGAAGGTTAGTTGTAACCTAGGTTACTCCCCACTTATTATCGCGAACACGCAAGTAAACCAACAAATCACAAGCAACACAAGTGGCAAGGCTCGTCGCAAGAAGCGCAGGTCCGCCCAAAGGTGCTCTGAAGCCATCTCCTCGCGCCGACTTGTTTCTGGAAAACCCCCGCCGAAATTCTGGGTCTGTCCATGTTACTTGGGTGTTGGCTGCCAAGTTGGTGTGAATCAGCGTAGGTTATAACCTACAGCTGGGCTAACTCCACTTGGGGGAACTTGATTTTGTAGATGGCCTATGTTGACTTGCCCCATCTACCCAACTAGGGAACCCACGAACCAGTTTCGACCCGCCCCAGGACTGCCTTGCTCCCAAATTCGATGCGTGGACGGGTGCAGTTTCACGAATAACCTGAAAACGCACTTTCTGAGATTGGCCCACAATGACCTTCCCACCAAAGTAAGCAAAGTCCAGAAACTCCCTTAACAAAAACAACCCCTTAACAAAGAGGGGGGCAGCGTTTGAGAGAGGGCCGCGTTGTTTTCCCGAGCCAAAAACCTCTCAAAATCCCCCTTCCCAGCCAGCCTGGTTGCCCTTCCGGAAGTCCAAGTGGAGCCTCAGCACCTGCGAAGCTGCTGCTGTTAGCCTATAGCAAGCTGAGTAACCCAGCTGTCTAGGGGTTGATTCCCCTCGAATTTGGGGTGGGGGTAGGGGGGGTTCCGACTCCTACTTTGAGACCAACCCATTTGAATTTTCCAGGGGTTGATTCCTTTTCCATTCTTTTCAACTATCGTTCTTTTCAAACACCGGCCGTTTTCCCCGGGTTTCCGGAGGTTTTCTAGAAAAAGCAAACCTGGAAAGAATGGGGGAGGTACCCCTAGAAGTTGAGTGGCACCCAAATACCCTGTGTGTGGCATGCCAAAATCCACTTCGGACCCCACGAAAAATCGTCCGACCCTTAGGGAGGACAGAAAGCCACCGAACTGGACCGAACCCCCACGAGGAATCTCCCCGGTTCGAAACATGGAAGGAACAAAGTGATTAAGCATCCTCCTTGTGGCTTCCCTTGAAAGAAATAGGACCGGGGGCGGGTTGTTGAAACAAGAAAGCTTAATCAAGCTTGGCCCAGAAGTTTGTCCCACAGAGACCTCTGTAAAAAAAGAAGAACACAAAAGAAACGTATCAGGAACATACAAGGAACATGTAAGAAAACAAGAAGAAGCATAGAAGGGACATATAAGGAACAAAAGAACCACATGTTCAATCCCGGAAAAAAAAAAAAAAAAAAAACAAAAAAAAACACATCCTACGAGTTGGATGCACAAACATCCTGTATGACCCCCCCAAAAAGAAAAAAACTGGGGGTAAACCACCTAGCAGGTGCCTCGGCTCGGCAGAGGTATGGATGGACGAAATTTCGTGTGCACCGTGGTTGAAACCATTGTTTGTTGGGTTTTGAAGGGGAAACATCAGAAACCAGGGTTTCTGAACGGTGCTGCGACAGGTATAGTAGCAACAAGGCTTGACAAAATTGCCCCAATCTAAAACTGAACAGAACAAACAAGAACACAAGCAGGCAACTTTACAAAAAAAACAAAAAGCAAAAAACTTAATAACATATCAAACAAAAAACAAACAAATGCCAAGAACTGTGCAGCACAGTCTGACATCTCAGCCCTCCGCCCTGCGCCCCTCCGCCCCCTGCGCCTTCCTGGCGAAGCCGAAACCGCCGTCCCAGGCGTGCGCCACGTGCGTCAGCGCGAAGCGCAGCTCCGCGGCGCTGGCGGTGTCCTCGGCATCGGCGCATGGCGCCCACGTCGGGGAGGCACACACCGGAAACACCCAGAAAAGGCAATAGATGCTTCAAACGGGTATGGGTCAAAAACAATCAGCATCAAAATATGGACCGCAGGTTTTAGTCCATGTTGCCATTTGCCAGGGCAAGCCATTTTGAGTACTTTTTGTGAACTCCCAAATTGAGTCATGTTAGAGATGGATATCTCGGCCCAACCGACAAATATACATATATGTAGGTATATCATATATATGTATATATGTATATATGTATAGTATGTACTATACATATTATGTGGGCGATGATGCTGCATATGTACTTTACTCTAACATACAAAACGTGCTCCTTTCGGAGACCCGGACATGTCTGTTCGTCCGATGAAACAATTCACTCTTCATGGCCTTGCAATCATAGAAATCCAACCCCCCTTCCCCAACCGGGATGTTTTCCCGATTCTAGCAAGGGTTGGTGTCAAACAAATCCAAGGGATGTCCCTCGAAGACCCTGGTAAAGGGATAGGACGGTTGGTGTGTCTCGAATTGGGGACCCCGCAAAGCTGAAGACTTCCATTGCATTCTCTTTAAAACAACTCCAAACAGGGCACCAACTCAAAATCTCACAATCACAAAAGCCATTGTCAAACTAGGATGGGGAATCCACCATGTTTCTGGTGTCCTTCCTTTACTTACCACGAGGAGAACCCGAACACGCACGCGCGCGCGCGCGCAAGCGCGCCAGCGCGCAAGCGCCGCACGTGGGGTTCGCCGATTTTCTCCGAACCGAGGCGCCAAGATGGCCACCTCCGGACGCCAGGGCTGCAGAGAGCTTGGCACCTGTCGCCAAACAGAGCTGAAGCCGGACAGAAAATTTGAAAGGGGTCTCAGAACATCTTGAGGTTGAGTGAATGGGGTTGTCTTTTTCAGGGGGTACCCTTGTTTTGAAGGGAAGCCAAGAGGAAACCAACATGTTTTTGGGGGGTTCCGCAGTTTTTTGTGAGACAAGGCCATCGACGGCGTCCTGAATTCCAACACTGGCACTTCCGATCGAGTGGAAGGGCCCAACAACTCGAAACTTGCCAACCAACTTAAAATCCAGGAAAACCAGGGGATGAGATTACAACAGTAGTTGGGTGAATCAACATGATTTACCGTGGAGTTTCATCAACTGTCGTTTTTTTCAAACAAAAGCACCTTTTCTTTTGCGGTGTTCGGAAAGATATGGATTTCTGGGTTCAGAATGGGAAGGTTTCTGTTGAATGTCCCAAAACATCTGGCCCTAACTCCACCCCAAGAAGTTGCTCTAACCTTCCTGGGACTCAGAATGAACACCTGGGCTTCCCATACTGCAACTTCACCTGTTGTTCTAGGTCCTCCAGACAGGTTAGAATAACGGTACCAACTTTTTCCTGTATAGTCTATTTTAGGAGAACCCTCCCAACCAAAAAAGGGGTGAGAAAGGGCACTGGGGGACCGAGTGTTCAGCCGGGCAACACAGTTTCCATGTCTTTCGTTTCGGACGCCCGAGGCGCGGAGCAGAACACCACGGGGTCGCCCACGATGGCGCGTCGACCGGCGTGGCCACGAAGCGACCAAAGGCGCTGGGTCTTGGCGATGTCATCGATGCCTGCCAGGTGTCACATGGTTGGCATGGGGGTCCCAGTCCTTTAACAGGAATCCTTACAATGATTGTCTGAAATACCGACAACCAACCCCAAGTAGGGAGACGGTGGCACAAAAGGGTATGTGTAAAAATGGGGAGACTGGGACCGGGACCTACAATGGTGGCGTTCCTTTCAACTTCCCTTTCAACCAACCTTGAAAAAGGAAGAGCGCGCCTCGCCAAAAACACAAACCTAAACTAGTGGATTGGGTACTCTTGGTGGATTTCTGTGGATGGACAGATTGTGTGCAGTTGCTAGGCGGGAGGGTGGGGAGAACTTAGGCTGATGGCTGAAAGCCCACCCATAGGTTCCCAGGTTCTTGCTATGTTGCATCTTCGCACGGAACCACCCTGTTTCAAACAAACACTCGGAACCAATTTGCTGAACAGAACCCACGAAAAAGCAACAACGTTCAAAGGAACTCCTTTCCTGCAAGCCCCGTTCTTGGTAAGCATGAATTGAGGGCAAGTATGAGGGCGATAGATTTAAATGACACCGGACCAGACACTAGAGAGGTCCCAAAAAGAATCAAAAGGGCGGCCAGCTTGTTGGTGTATCTATTTCTGCGAGGGTCTCTTTTTGAGGGCACTTCATTTTTGGATGTTGCAATGGACAAAAGGGAAAAAAGTTGGATGGATTCTGTGAAAGCGAGCCAATACTCTTTGCTACTCACCGTGTCCCCCAGAGTTCCTCCTTGGGCTGTCCCCCCTTCTCACCTAGCAAGGGGCCTGCATCATGGGTGTTCGCTAGTGATCCCGCTGAGCTCGCTTCTCATTTGCCCAGACCCATCCGACTCATTCCGCACGTCCACGCGACAAAGGCACGTCCACGCACAATTCAGGCGCATTCTAGGTATGGTTGTTGGAGGTATGGATGCTTAGGTATGTACCTCCAACATAAGCTTGTGCCCTTATGTAAGTGGCACATAACCTCCATGCCTCCAAAACCCATCTCTGGAGAGTGTCCCTTGACAGCAAGGCCTGGCTTCCCGCTATTGTCCAGAAGAAGCTGAAAAAGCTCGGCCCACCATGCTGCCGACTTCTCCTGACGGGCCCCCCAAAATGACGGACTCATATAGCGTCCAAATGCACTCACATCAACCCAGTTGCCTAGCTACCCTGCTAGATAAAGGGAATCCTTTGTTGGGATAGGGACTCCAAGAAACCAAACACGAGAAAAGAAGACAGAACTGGCTCAAAGCGTGAATCCTGTTGATTCCTTCACAGTTCCGGACCTTTAACCCGTATCTTGAATCCATTCGGATTGTCCCAGGCTTCAGGGATGGGCGCAGCCCTGAATTTTTCCGGCCCGTAACCTTTAGACCTGAATTTGTCAAAGATCCCCTGGGCCCCCTTACCTTCAGCCAACCAGAGACTGAAGTCTTTGTCATGGACATGCTCCAGACCCATATACCCTGCCCCCAGTCTTGGGTGCGGCAGAAAAAGAAGCACAAGCGGGTGATTCCAACCATTCTGAGATTCAAGCCACAAAAAAGGAAGATAAATCGAACGCAACAAAAACAAACACAATCTGACAAAGGACTATGATTGGATCGTACTCACTTAAGTACAAGTTGGACAAGCAAACATCAAGAAATCAAACAGAAACATCAAGAACACAATCTGATAAAGGACATAATGTGTTGATCTCATCCAAAATTGAAAACACAAACATCGAGAAACCAACACAACGACAACAAAACAGTCTATTAAAGGACATGTTTGCGTCTCGCTCTCATATGCCAATAACTGCCCCTGCCATGCTGGTGTTGTTTTCTTGTTTTCAGTTTTCTCGATGTGTTTGCAATTATCTATTCGCCGTGTGCCAAGTTGTTCGCTTTCGGATTATCATTGCTGCTGTTGCGTTGTGTTTTTGTTATTCAAATTATGTCTAAATGTTTTTGCAAAAGGAATTCCTTTCCAACAGAGTTTGATGGAAGCAAGCAAACCAATCTGACAAAGGAAATGTTTGGGTCTTATTCACATACAGGTCTGAAACACACAAAGAACAACGACACATCGAACAGAACAAATCTGACAAAGGAATTGTTTGGGTCTTGCTAACATGCCAATGACTTCCCCTGCGAAATGATGTTTGTCGTTCCGGTTTCTCAATGTTTTGTTGTTCAGACTTTTGTTTTGGTGCCAATAATTTATCAAGTGTTTTTTTTGCTTAATGTATTTATTTATTTATTTATGTTCATGTCCGTCTGCATCTTTTGAGAAAAGGAATTCTTTGTCCAAATGAGTTTGACAAAACTTTGTGCCGAATGTAAATGCAATGTAAACAGGAAATAATTCGAACGTAATGTCCATCTTAAGCTAAAGCTTCCATTGGATTTCCATTCTAAATATGGTTTGATTGAAGTCTAACTAGATGTTGAGCGACACTTGAACAAAATACAGACATAATAATTGTCATTGTTGTTTCTTTCAAGTGACCTGCTCCTCAAACAGGGCACATCAATTAACAAACTGGAGAAGGCAACTTCAGTTCCACTAGGCTTCAGCTAACACAAATCGAATAGTCTGCCATAGTCTTGAGTATGCACATGTTAATTTACCAAACTATGTGCCATCAAGTTTCTATTTCATTCACAGCTTGAGATAGCAATGCTTGCCGACATCTTTCCTCGTTAAACCTTACGTCCTCTGTCACAGCAAAGAGACAGCAACATCATTGATTTACACAGAAACAAAAACACACTACTCACAGCATCCGCCTTCTCACCACCTAGGCGTCCCTTTTTGAGACGAACCCATTTAGTCAACCCCCAGCAAAGTAGCATGGGTGTGAATTCAACAATTGGCGGCCTTAGGTGGAAAATCCATTTAGCTGGCGATTTCAGGTCCACCACGTGTGAGGTGGTTTAACCATCACCTTTTGGGCCAGTTAATTTCCATTTGCTTAAGCCCCCTGGCAACACATTTTTTTTCAGTAGTGATGGATTCCCTTCAAAACCAACAGGGGAAATACCAAATATTCCTTTCAGCAGATGGAAGTCTAAAGTGAGACGAAAACATGGCCACATGATCCAAGATGATCCCTTTGCAGACTTGTTTTGTTGTCTGAGATGAGGGTTGCAGTTGCCATACCATTCCTTTGGGGGAGACGAGACCGCCAGGGTGGATCAAGTCCTCCATGCGCTCCGCAAGGAAGATGTCCTCGACCGCCAAGGCGCGCACGCCGCACTTCTCCAGGACCACCTCACCGTGCGGTCGCCGGCGACGAGTGAAGAAAACCCACCTGTGGAGGTTGTATACCACTTCTCGGTTGCTTGCTGCTCCCCTGCTAAATGGTTTGATGGAAAACCCATTGGTTGGCAAAGCCCACCTGTGGATGGTTGCGAAATCCATTTCGCACCACTTTGAAGCCATGATTGAAACCATTTGTTTGTTGGTATTGACAGGGGAAGCGAATCATTCCAGGACTTCTTAGGTGGTGCAGGATTTCGTCCACCCACAGTGAGGTGGTATACCATTTCCACAGGTATGAATTTTGATTAGGGACACTTTTGGTCCGGACATCGTTTCGGTGGAGATTTCTGTCCAACCACTTTTCAGGGCGTTCCCAGCTGAGCTTCTTCGGCCGAACATAACCTCCGTCTCCCATGAATCGGGGAGTGTGACCAGTGTTCATCCCCTGTCCGTTGCTATCTAGGTCCTCCAGTAGAGAGGTTAGAACAAGGGTGCCCACTTTTTTTTTGTCCGTAGTCTATTTTAGTAGGGGAATCCTCCCCCAAAAAGAATTGGTAAAAAGGCACCTAGCTGGGGGACCTAGCTAGAAAGAGCCCTTCATCCGGGCCTGCAAAGTCTCGTCCTGCACCACCTGCGTGGCAAGGAGTCGCACGCGGCTTTTTGTTGCTCTCTGCCAGCAACAGGAGCGAAGAAACAAGCATTCGCAGCGTTCCTTAATTGATACAGCCCCAAAAACCACTTGATTATGTTGATTGTTTTTCTTAGTTGTTCACTGTTTTGTTAGTTGTTGATTGCGCGCCATCTTACTTGCTTCACACGGAATTGATTCCTCTAAAGCAGTTGGCCAAGGTTGTTTTCTATTTCGCCCGAATACGTCCTTTCAGGGACCCTGACGAATTAGTTCCCAACATCGTGACTTGATTTGGTCTCGAATACCCTACTAGTACAACCCATGAATGTGATTCTTTAGGCCCCGACAGCAACTCGCTCCAAACGCGCTCCGGCAATCACTTTAAACAACCAGAAAGCTAGGCTGTTTTTAGATCCCCCGCTAAAAGTGACTAACTTTTAGTGGGTTAAATTCGGAAACTACCACTAAACACTAAAAGGATCTAAAAAGCTAAGGGGAGGCTGGGAGCCACCAAGGTTCAAGTACCCCGCCCTCCGCCATGATTGAGGAAAAAAGGGACTCCGACGAGGGGTTCCAGGCTGTTGAAAGGGGTCTTTACACATTTCTTGAGAGGGGGGTTCTCTGAAGAGGTTGATGGCCCGTGTTTGCAAAGAACCAGCCATTTTCCGAAAGGGTTTTTAAGGTGGTTTTCCCAAGAAAAAATGATCGAAGCTACCCCTAAAAGTCTTGCGTCCTTGGATCCAGTCGTGTCTCCATGTGAGTCATTGAGCCCTCGCCGCCCAAAAAACGTCCAGTCCCAAGAGCAAAATCTGTACCTTGACTGGTACGAGCCTTGGTACCAGTAAGCAGGACAGGGAGAACCGCCGTGGCTTGCAAGACATGGGATTCTTGGAGGGTACCTGCCCCAGGAGAGTCCTCCAAAAGCAGGTTCCTTGGACTGAAGATGGGCGAAAGGGAGCAATTCCAGTCTAGACATTCCCCCAAAATTCTCTCCTTCCGGATTTTTTGCCATCTGCTTTCACCCGGGCGTAATTCTTAATTGCCAACGTCAGCCCCCCCAGTAGACTCAGGGGAAACCCCAGTGTCTAACTGGAACCCGAAACACAGTCGAACGAGTGGGCTGAATATCTTCTACACAGCAGAAATGGCTTCACCGTGGGCAGTTTGAGGCCCCGCGTGTCAGGAAGCCCAAGACTATCCCGTCTGAAAGGAAGGACATGCCGACAAGCTAACAACTCATCGCTGGGAAAACAACTCATGGCTGGTCCGGGGGAGAGTCAACTGATCCCCAGCCATGGCGCGCTAACACCAAGCCACAAAACATATACTAAGCCCATGCTGAGCCTCGAGCTAAGAATCAAATGTAAATAACATGTTTAAGACGAGGAAATCGAGAAAATGAAACTATCCTTTCGAGTACCAAGGAATACTAAACAAATGCTCAACCGATTCGAAAGACTACTGAAAACAGTACACAATAATAGCAAACCAATGTTAAACCAATTCTAGACTGCACTGGGGCAACTCAAAGGAAAGCTCATTGCTTGAGTAGGCAGCTCTGACTTTAGGTTGTTCCCTATTGAACCGCCGATTCGCTTGAGGGGGAGCCCTCTATTGAGCACCGGCCCCTGAGGCTTCTCCTTTGGTCTGCGCAGGATCTCCGGGTCCACAAGGTACCCTAGGGGTGCCTTAGGGTTTCTCAAAATTCTCTAAAGGCTACTTGGAGTTCCTAGGCTCGCTTCGTGACTTTTTTCTCCCCGGTTCCTTCAGGTTCCTTGGGGGCCTCAGGGCCATCCCTTAATTCAGATTCCGGGAACTTTCGGCCTCGGCACAAGGGTAGAAGAAAAAGGCCCCTGCTGCAAGCAAACCATTTTTGCTAGCAATGCTCGACCCAGGTTTTGTCATCCACCTGGAGAAACCCGGTCAGGGTCGGCCCTGACAAACCCTCCCCAAACTAACAATAGACCCAGTCACTTTGAACTGACATCAATTGCTCAACTGCCTTGGGCAATCACGTGGGTGTGTCTTTTATACAGGTACCCCGTTGTTGCTTTGTCTATAAAATTTTGGGGAACCAAGGACACCACCCATTTTAGGGGCCCAAGTCCTATGTTGAGAACCATCCTAGGCTGCCCTCAGATCCCCTGCTAAAAGTTTAACTTTTAGTGGACTCAATGGAAACTACCACTAAACCCTAAAAGCCTAAAAAGCTAAGGAACCGGATGGCTGGGGGCCACCAAGCATCCACGCTGTTTCTGGGCAGAAACCCGTCTTTTTGCCAACCCTAGGTCCTCCAGTAGAGAGGCTAGCATAAGGGTACCCCTTTTTTTCTGTAGTCGATTTTAGCATAGGGGAACCCTCCCAACCGAAAAAAAGAAGCGGTCACAGTTGGCACCGAGCTGGGGGACCTAGATGGCAACTAGGAAGTCACCTCATTGCACCCACCCAAAAAGGGACACCTGAAAGGGTCAAGCAGAAGGTCTTTCCACCAACCTACTGGGGGACCTCGAAGCCTACTGTGGGATGGACGAATTCCTGCACCATCTAAGAAGCCCTAAAATGTTGGGATTTTCCTGTAACTACCCACAAACAATGGGCTTCCGCGCTTTTCCTGGGCAGAACCCCCCGTCTCCCTCCCCCAAAAAAGGGGTGAGAAAGGGCACCCAGCGACCTCGACACCCGCGCCCCGCCTGCAGCCCCGCCGCTTGGAAGGTCTCCGCCGTCACCAGCGCCAGCACCCGTGCGTCAGGCAGCCGCAGCGCTGCCGAGGAGGCCGTCAGGCCGAGGTCCGGGAGCACCGCGCGGAGCTCGCAGATCACCTGGAGAGATGCGAAGACAACGCCGTGCGCGGTTCCCCCTCCTGTTGTTTTTTTGGGAATTTCCTGGTTTCCCGTGGTTTCCACCCCCCCCCCCCATTTTTTGGGGGGAATTTCCTGGTGGTTTCTGGAAGTGCCGGGTGGGGGATTTCCGGGTGGTTTCCCCCACTTTTGGGGATTTCTTGGTGAGTTCCCTATTTTTTGAGGGATTTCCGGGTGGTTTGCCCATTTTGGGGGGATTGTTTTCGTGGTTTCTCCCATTGCTTCTGATTTCCCTTTGGATTGCCTTAAGAGGACAAAGCCATTCTTGTTTAGCCCTCTCCAGACTGCGGAACCTATAACCTGAAAGCCCCCAACCTCCCAACCTTCTCCGCCATTCCCCTGACATGGGCCAACTGGGCCCCACTCTGAGTAGACCAGACATGTTTGAGGGAATCAAAGGGCAACCAACCTTTCTGGGGTTTCCAAATTTTGAGGCAAACCCGAAAATTGTCTGATTCTGTTCCATACTTAGTCTATCCAAGCAGAATTAGATGTTTGGAGAAGGGGTGCTTGCTGAAGGGCAATCCACCTTCTGTTCAATTTGCAGGGGGTATTCATTGAAAGCTTGCAAGCAAAACTCAAAATCAACCCAATCAAGCCAGCATTCAATCAAAACCACACAGGCATTGTATCTCTGTTGTGGTGTCGTGTTGGATGTGTCCCACTTTTCTCAAAGTGAAACAAGCAGTCAACATAAGTCAGCAAAATTAGAGCTGAATCAAATAAAAACCACGAGACACGATCATAATTGTACCCAAAAGCCTTGGAAAACACTGACGGTATACAACGCAACACGTGTTGTTGTTTATTTTCCGCGCTTGCTGATTATTGAAACGGGGGCTTCCAGCAGGCCAGTCTGATCAATCTTTCTGGCCAAATTACTCATTCACAACCCGCATTTCTGAATCCCCAAAAGGGACCTGCCAGGAGCTGTTGTACACGACGAATTCGTTCCGCAGTCAAACTGGCCCGCGAAACGTCTTGCTTCTTAGCGCTTCCCCCCCGATACTCACTCTGGCCCAAGCCTCAAGGGTCCCTCGCGGGTGAACGTCGATATCTCGGACCCGAAGTCACATCCGAGTCAAAACCCTGTTCCCAGACCGCCGGACTTCGGAAAAGAAGCGGCACTTGTTTTGCTTGCTTCTTCAAGAGAAACCTGCTTGAACACAGTGGCCATGGGTAAAAGGTCAATATTTCCGGGGGGGGGGTCTTGGAATTTCTGAGCCCACCTCCTCTGCGAAGGCTTGCCAGAACGGAGGTGTCCCGGGTCCTATCACATCGGCTCGCACGTTGGTGTGTGTGCGAGTGAGTGTCCGTATTTGGGTGTGAATTTTAGTTGGGACCCGCAATGGTAGACATCATTTAAGCGGGAGAAACATGTCCACCCATGTGGGATTAAAATTCCTCATAAAGAGTCACAGCCATGTAAGCCACAGTCACACTATGCTGTCCTCCAATTGGGTCATTTGAGATGGGTAGCGCAGCTTGGCAAATGGGACAAGGACATCATGGCCTGTGAAAGGGGAGTTGCACCCCCATGTGACTCAACTCCAACGCCTGCCCCCCCCCCCCCATGCGAGACGAGCACTTCTCGCCTAGAAGCCGCCCAGCCCAAATACTCCAACTTGCTCGCGGCGATCACCCCAAATTTGGTCGCGAAGATTGAGTTCGGAGCCGAAATCAAAGCCCGGGTGTAAAAACCTCGAGTTTCTGGCCTGATCCATGGCTGTCGAAGCTTGGCTTTGGACCCTTAGCTGAACAATCGGAAGGATAAAGCATGTGACAGGTTTCAACCCCCCCGCCCTCTTCCCCACTCGACAAATAACAACAAAAACACTCCGATGTTTTTTTTCTCTCCCTTGGTGAAGCCACTGATTTGTGCCAGGCTCCCCGGTGCAAAAAACGAGTCCCACTTTGACGGGGTGTCACACACCTGCACCCGGAAGCCCAATAAAACCAGCGAAAACGAAACACGGCCAGCACAGAAGGAGCGATTGGACTGCTGGGATCACTTCCGGCACCATTATTTGCTTGCCCGGGCTTGCTTCAAAAGAACTTGCCACCAAGCATCAACACAAACCACAAACAAACACATTTAATTTGGTTTCCCGGCGTTTTGGGTTGCGAAACGGCCAAACCACAAAAAACAAAAAACAAAAAACATAATCCAACGAGCGCTGGTCCTGTGCTGGGCAGAAAGGCCGCCAAGTGCGGCTTCACCTCATGGTGGCGCGCCGCCACTGTGAAGAGCTTCGCAGCCTGCGATTTCGAGATGGGCGACGTGCGATTCGACAGACGACGGCGCCTGGAGGCTCCTTCTGACCGCTGAAAAGTGGGGTCATTACCCAAAGTTCCAGGGGTAACTTCCCTTTCATGGGGAATCAACCCCTAGAACAATTAAGCAGTTACAACCCCTTTTTCTAGGGGTCAGGAGACGGTAGGCGTCTAGGTGCAGGATTTGGACAGGAGCAAGGGGAGCCATCGGAAGACTGATTCGATTTTTTCGGCGGCAAAGGCTGCCCGAATCGGCTCTGAATAAGTAAATAAAAGGGGGGCAATGGGGGGGGGAGGGTGTCACATTGCGCAATGCTGGGGAAAGGGGGAAAGGGGGGGAAAGGGGGGGATGGGGGGGGGGGGAGGTTAGTTGTCACACCTCTTCAGTGAAATTGGTTGCTCACATAAACGGCGAGTGCCTGTGTCACCCACAAGCTGCTGGTGTGTCATGCCGTCTTTAGAGGACCCCACGATAATTTCCCAAAACCCCGCTGGACATCAGATTCCGGATAAGACAACTGCTCTGCGGCCGGCCTTTTACCATAATTCCAACAAAATGTGAAATACAAAAGCGGACCCCCAAGCACAGGACCAAGATGCTGAGCCTGCAACTTACCGCGTCGGTGAGATCTCTGAAGGGGAGCCAATGAGAACATCCAAGTGAAATTCCCTTTATACAAATTCCTCCAAAAGCCTTCAGAAGGTTGGGTGGTGATGTACTTGCATGCGAAGTCGCTAGAACATTGTTGCGAATGCCGCAGTGCTTGCCTACAGGGAAAAACTCAATGCCCTTCAGGCACCCGGAGAAACTCATCGGCCAACACTTGCTGACAGTGGGGCCGCTTATCCCTCCAAAGGGGTTTTGGAGGAACCCGCGTCTTGCAGGGGGGACACCCACAAAAGAAGCGAGTGAGGGGACATGCTGAGATGCAACCACTGTCGACTGTCAAGGTTCCTCACAACCACTTTGATTAATCAACCCCAGTTTACGAATAACAATCACTTCTGGAGGGCGGAATGATATGGAACTCAAAGCCTCGCTCCAAAACCATCCAGAGATCCACTGGGAGGGTATGACGCTGGCATCTCCAACTCCGAGCGAGTGAGGCGGGCAGGGCTCGCAGACATGGAAACCGGGGGAGCTTTGAGGGGTTTCTTTTTGGCTTCCTTTTACATACAAACGACCAGGGGGCCACCATTTCGAGAAACGTTCTGGCAAACATCTGTAGCTTCTGCCTGTCCACGTCTTGGGAGTTTAGGCTAGCATTTCCATTTGTTGCGTTGCTCCAAGCCCCTCTGGGCGAAAGGTCGTGAGTCCTGTTGTAGGTTTAACCTTAATGGACCAGCCATTCATATAACTAGGTCCTCCAGTAGAGAGGTTAGAATAAGGCTACCCTTTTTTCTGGTGGTCTATTTTAGTAGGGGAGCCCTCCCCTGGGGGACCTAGATAAGTTCCAAAAGGCCTCAAGGGGCCATGCGGTCACGCCAAAGACCAGAAAAATGCTTCAAGATGCCCCAAAAAGGCATCTGCAGTATCCTAAAAACCGTAGAATTCCCAAAAGCCTTCCCCAAGAGCTTGAAAATGAATGTACGTTTTTGAGGCTCAGTACCCTTTTTGGATGGTCAAGGGAAATTGACACCTCCCATTAGAGGGGTTCCCCTATTTGGATATGTGTCAAAATAGGTAGACCCCAAAAATGTTGGTTCCCTGTTGGTGTCCCTTTAAGGGTACTTGGATGTTCGATTCGCCAAGTTAGTAAGTGGTTAGCCACTTGGGATTTGTCACCCCCGAATGACAAGGTTAACCTCACCGAACGAGGACTTATATAATTGTGTTGTCTAAGCTATATATACCCTATGCTAGGCTACCAACAACTTACTAAGTGGCCAAAGAACACCTAAGCCTAGGTAAGAATACTTGTTGGTTTCCTTTCTTGGTCTTTAAGGGGATCTTTCACTACCGAGAAAAAAAGAACTTTCCTGCGGACTTTAGCAAACCAAAGTTTGATCCTCCCCGGCACGCCTCAAAAAAAGGGGGAACAAAACGCCGCCAGACCTCCAAGGACTCGCGTTGGACGCCGACCCGCCGACCCGACCGCCCGACTTCTCCGCGCCTCCGCGCGCAGCTGCGCGTTGAAGGCGTTCTCTCGGACCGCCTCGCGGCTGGTGGTGAGCTGCCACTTGCCTTGCAGCAGGAACCTCGGAGAGCTGGGTCCTCCAGATTTGAAAGGTTAAGAATAAGTGTACCATTTGTTTCTGTTTGTTTCCTCTTTTTTTTCTTTTTTCGGTAGTCTATTTTAGAAGGGGAACCCTCCCACCAAAAAAGGGGAGAGAAGGGCACTACTGGAGGACCTAGATGGCAACTAGGAAGTCACCTCATTTCTCCCACCCAAAAAAGGACACCTGAAAAAGGTCAAGGACACCTGAAAAGAAACGGTCACAGTTGGCACCAATCGCTGGGGGGCCTAGTTACACTCAGCCAGGCGCTTGTGCCCCACGTGCGCGCAGGGCAGGCCCGCGCAGACCGGGAGCTCGGGGCCCGGGAGCTCGGGGAACGCCAGGCGCAGCCTGAGACGGACGCGCGCGCGCAGTGGGGCCCCAGGGCTTTCCGAAGTCTATGGGTCCCATCTGATTCCCCCATTCTGTTCAAAAAAAAACAAAACCAAAAACACAAAAACATCGTTTCAACCAGATCATCTAAACAAAAATGTGATTCCCCATTTCAAGAACCAGGTCATTCTTTTCAAGCATCGTCCTTTTTCAACCAGATCTGTTTTCAACCTGGGATTTTGATTGACTACCCGTGCTTTTCAACCATTGTTCTGGTCAAAAACCAGATCTGTTTCCAACCGGGGATGATCTCCTGAAAAGATTCGGATCCCCTAAGAGTCATGACCCCGGCAATGCACAGCCCACTCTCCAATGCACAACCCCGGCACCTCAATGACTCAAGGGCCCTCCACAACCACGTCGGACCCAAAATCGTCTGGACTCTTAGGGAGGGTTGTCTTCAGGGCTTTGCACAAAGAGGGTTTGGCAAAAATATTGGTTCAAACCAGCCCCGGCAGCAGGGACACCAAACCCAGCAGTGCCGAAAACCGGTTGACTTTAGGTTCATATTGCAGCCGTACGTGATAAAGCCCATGAAACCCAAATAGGAAATGGAAATGAGTGGAATCACCAATCGAGTTGTTTCCCGTGGTTTGAGCCACGATCAAACCCAGGTGGATGAAGGTTAGGAAGGGGTCTCCTTGCCAATTATAGGTGCAGCCACCCTTTTGATTCTTTCATGGTTACCCTCTTGGGGATTCAACTTAGACCTTGCGACCAATAGGGTTCGAGGCCGTATTTCCCCACCACAAGATGATTGTATGGAACACACCTTGCTTGACATTTCTATGGACCACGGGAAAGCATCAAAAGCTCCATCCGTTTCCTCCATTTGCTCAAGCCCCTTGGAAAAACAAAACCCTTAGGAGAAATCGATTCCCAACACCAACAGGTAAACGTTAAACGCATTTTCCGAAACGCACATCGAAGTTGCCCAAATCCGCCCCCAGGAGCCGGATGTTTTTGGGACGGAGCTTTGAAGATGGGGGAGAGGGAACAAGACATATTCAGCAAATGGGTTTGTCGCAAAGTAGGAATCAGAAACCCCAAAATGGACCAGTGTTCGACAACTCAGCTTCGGAGGAAAGCACAAATTGGGGTCAGGCCACCGCCCATCCGCCGACGCGAAGACACGGAAGAGGCGTTTGGAATTGGCGGTGCGGAGGCAGCAGCTGAAGGTGGCAACCTGAACAACGAATATGACGCCGTGATCATATGTCCACGGGAACAAACACCTCCTTATACCTGGAAGCTCCTTTCGGCCAAAAAAACGAGAAACCTCATCATCGAAATCATGCTGGTGGTGTTGGCGCCAATGCACATGTGGGAGCAAGGGCCAGTTTGCCGGTTTTTTGCTGAGCTGCCGACACTCCTCCCTTCTTGCGGGGAAAATTCCTGACTCGACATAAAACGGCTGAACATGTTGGCCGGAAGGAGTTTCCAGGTATAGCCTGTGGTCATGGTTCATTTGATGGGAACCATTATACTCGTTGTTCAGGATCCCTACTGCAAGGTGGATGATCATCCTTGTCAAGCCCGAGAAAAGGTGTCTCTTGACCATGGCACATATATGAGCCACGGATAAAAATTGTGTCCTCAAGCCCAGCAACTTCTGAACGCGGTCAAACTTACTTGCTTCCCCAAGAGCACATCGGAGATTGAACAAATGCCATTTGTGGGAGATTTGGGATCCGCTCCCCTCCCCAAAGAACCATGGATTCCGAACATCTTAAGACCGAATCTTCCGATTGATGGACGCGCGGACTTTCCACTCGAAAACAAAAAGTGCTGCTTCTTCCAAGCTGGAAGCATCGCTTTTTTCATATGTCGAACAGGTTCAATACTGACTTTTTGGGATCCAACGATGCTGCTACACTAATCGGCAAGGTTTGGAGAAAACAGAATCAAGCCAAGACCACAAGAAAAACAACACAAAACCGGACAAACTCCTGGCAAGAGCCTCTCGAGTCTCAAAGCCAAAACAATAGGGGCGGTACATTCCCAAAACATTGCGCAAGTACCATTCAAGTTGGAAGCCCATTCAATGGCCATCGCATTGTTGGACACCTGGCATACGGCTTGCTGGCTTGGCCTAAAAAAGGGTACCCAAAATCGCCCCTTGGTAAAGAACCTTAGTTTTGAGTACACGCACTTTTGGTTCAACTATACAATCCATTAAGAAATGTAAAGGATTGTGCAACCCTAACCTGCACGAAACCAGGCACAACCACCCAAAATGGCGAGTCGGAGTAATTCCCTGAACTCACTGAGTGTTTTGGCAAAACAAAGGTCGAAATTTTCGACTTACCACAAACATGATGCAAGCACATTACAATGGTCCAAACCCCAAGAGTGTGAAGCTGGAACAAAAGACTTTACAATCTGGTGATTTACCCTGGGCTGCCTTCAGATCTGCTAAAAGTTTAACTCTTAGTGGGTTAAATTCGGAAACTACCACTAAACGCTAAAAGGATCTACAAAGCTAAGGACTCGGGCGGCTGGGAGCCAAGTTAAAAAATGCTCCAAGCGGGACCTCGGGAAGTGAGCCCCGCCTCCAAAAAGGACTCCTCCGGGCCCTTGGTGAGGTGCCTAGCGCGCGCGGTGCGTTCGCGGGTTGGGGGGCCCAAGACTTGCGGTTGCTGTTGACCCCCCTGCAAAAAGTGGACCACTTTTTGGGGGGGTTTAGTGGAAAACCCCGAAACAAAAATCCAAAAGTTGAAGTCTAAAGATCCAACCCAGTAGCAGTCAAGAAAATAAGGAGGCCAAGCTCGGCGCGTTTCCCCCAAAACGTGGGTTGGCACTACAAAGGCAAACCTGGCGCTGGTCAAAAAAGGGGGCCAACGCCCCTTTTACCGGATCAAGGGATCAAGCAACCATGTTGTTGCCCGCAAAACACGGCCAAACAACTCCCGGAAAGTTTCCCACAGCATTTGGGAGTGTGTTCCGATGTTCCATTAAATGTCGGGAAACAGAGCAATGCCACTCTATAATCAGGAATTGAAATGCTACCCCCCCCAAAGCTCCCCCCCCCAAAAAGTTAAGGGCGCTGGATGCCAACCAGATCATCATTCTGCAAGAGACATTTCGGCTCGACGGGAGCTATGGCTGAGCCATCTTCCCCCGAGATTTGCCAGTACCTTACTTGAGTTTGACCAGTCGATGAACCTAAGACCGCAACAGAGTAAAGTTGCTGCTCTACTTAGGCAAACTTCACCTTGCGGGAAATGATGTGGTTGCCTGGGTTATCCCTGGCGAACAAACTTGCTGGACTACAGTTCACATTGCTCAATGCATTCTGCAATCCAACACGGAAAAGAAATTGATGGAGCGGTACTATGTCGCTTGGCTGGATGTCATTTCAATTCATTGCACATTTTGTTGAACCAGAAATTTGTTGGAGAAGGGAAAGGTTTGAACATGCGCTACAGCCAAGGCAGCCAAGCCAAAAATCGAAGATTGGCACAGGCGACTTTGGCCGGGGCACGGCATTCCACCCAACTTGGCGCCCAAAACTTCCAAGACATCCGAGGGAACACAACAAAAGATTTGGATTAGCCACAACGCGATGAGATCATCCATGATGATTGCATTTCTAGCATGGGCGATGTCGCAAAACAAGAGGTCGGCAAATGACAGAGCCCGGGCAAAGAACTTTTTGGGCCTTCTTCTGAGCAAGCTTGCCTCAACATTGGGAGGTGATGCAGTTGTCAAAGTTCGCAAAAGCGGAAGTCAAACTTGGAACAATGTGGTTTTGCGCCCAACAGTATTGCTTGATGGCTCTGCTGTATGGCCCCTTGCGGCTGGCATTCGCAATTCTCTGAGAGATGAGTGGAATTGGGCACGACGCAACGAGCGGCGAGCAGGTCTCATTGAGTCATCATTTGATACCCCAAGCATCATGGACTACATCATGTATGGAGTGGACGCCGAAAACAGGCAACACAGTTTCTGCGAACCAATGGCTTTGAGTTTGCTTTCCCAATTGTGCAAGATCATTGATGAGAATGCTTCGCAGCTGGGGGATGCTTCAAAATTGCAAGCCGCAATTGCGTTCAAAAAAGGCAAAGATTTCGTGGCCCACACACGAAGCCAAATGTGTGATGCTGCTTTGTCAATGTGGAGTGGCGTCCAACCCTCTCAGAGTTCTTCAATTGGTCCGGCCTTTTGGTTGAATTGACTATTTCTGTTGAATTTGCTTCCCGACCTAGACTATATTTAATTTGATTTGGCCCACCGCGAAAATCGTCTAAGGACAATGAGGATAGTTCCAGGGCTGCAGCCCAAACCATTGGCGCCGCTTTTGCATCGCGTGGTATCACACACAGCGTGACCCACTTTGCCCAGATGGCAGTGGCGCCTTATCTTTCAAAACTAACAGTGGCTAAGCTAGGGGCAGAACTTGGATCCTTCGTCCAATATCGAAGCAAACTAAACAATTGAATTTGATATTAGCCCAGGTGGCATACTACAACCGACTTCTATGTGAGCTGCGCGATTGCAGCAATTTTCATGCCTCTTGGCCGAATGTATAACGCTAGACTGCAGTGTGGCTGGTGCTAGCGTGTGCTGTTGACTTGACCTTGGCTTGCTGAGATTTTCTTTGATGGATCCTCGGTGGCAAAGTATCCCTGCACCCTCTTTTCGTCTACTCCCCCGACAAGCGGGTCGGAGGCTTCGGACCACCGATTGTCGGGGCCTTGGCCCTCCTCTTATAATAAGACAATGCTCCATTGGCATTTGTGCCTTGGCAAGTTCGTGCTCCATTGCACAATGAATCCCACACGAGGGTGGCAGGCATACATTTGTCCAATGTTAGTCTTGAAGCCGAGTTGGACTTTTCAATTGTGGCGAGTCCTCCAGCTGTCCTCGTAAGGACCCTTTCAGTTTACACGAAACATATGAGGGTCTTCGTTGGCAGCCGCCCGCATACTTTTCCGGTTGCCCGCTGCTGCGTTAATGTCCTTTGAAATGGCCTTACACTTGCTCAAGTACACATGCAGGCACACACACAAACACACTCACATGGTGGGCCCTAAAAGCCACCATGATCCCGGTCGTCTGGCGCATACGTGATGAGTTGGTACGCCTTTTCTTGGTGGCTTTCTGGGCTGTCCCCACATCCCCTACTCAAAGTTTAACTTTTTCCGGGTTTAATGGACCTACCACTAAACCCAAAAAACCCAAGAAGCCAAGGAACCGGATGGCTGGGAGCAACCGAGTCTTCCGCCCCCTCGCCTCTGGTTTCGCTGGTTTCGGAAACGAGAGCCCGAGGCGCGCGGAGAGCTTCAGGGCGTCGCCTTCGAAGGCCAAGTGCCGCAGCCGCGAGAGGCCGAGCAGCACCAAGGGGTCAAAGGCGGCCTCCAACTTCCTGACACGCGGCGAGTTTTTTGGACCAAGGCTGGAAATTCCAGGAAAATATCTTGCCAACAACCACCAAAAAGGTTGCTTTCTGCTCCCCCGCTAACGTTTTTTTTCATAATTCTAGTGGTTGAATACGGAAAACCCTTTGGCAAAAAGTTGTTCAGTCCTAACATGGCGAAATGCAAAGTTTCAACCTCCAAGGCTGGGCCTCCACGAAACGCTGGCTAAAACAACACCAGAACCAGGTGTTGCCTCGATTTGTTGACGGCTTACCCCCAAGTGGCCCAGGTTTTATCCAAAGCTCCAGCAAATTCTCGGCAAAAACCACCACAAAAACCAGGGGTTTGGGCTGTGTGCCCCCATATTTGGGCCAAGCCAGCAAATTATCCAGGGAATGGCCCTTCAGCTGTCTAAACCTCCAACTTGAGACAGCGAATTCCAACTCGAGCGATCGAGACCCCGAAGACCGGGATGCACCCGTGAAGAAACTTCGATGAATTTCTGAGCTAAAACTCCTCACATCCAAAGGGCAACCGCTCTCAAATTGGTGAAGCGTCCATAGCTTCACGGACCCCCAGGTTTTATCCAAACCAGGACAGCCTCACCAAATACCCACCAAACACCAGGCGTTTGGGCCAACTTCCAAAGAATAATTTCCTGGAGTGTCCTCTAAGACTTCAAAAAAAGGCACCCCCAAGAAAAGGCAAGAACTAATTGCCGCGTCTCTAATTGGTGGTTTGGATTGGTGTTTCGGGGTGGTTTCCGATTGACTCTCTACAGAATCCAGGGGTTCGAATTTCCACCAAATCAAACCACCAATTGAGGAATACCAGACATATCCGCTATAGGGAAACCAACGATCCGAGTACAAACAAAAACAAATACCCCTGTCCTAAATCCAGGAAGGCCTGGGGAATTAATTCCAACATGCTTGTTTTGTCTTCTTCGTTTTTTGATTTTTTTTTGGGGGGACAGGGTGGAGACAACAGTAGAATTACTTCACATTAGCAATGAGAAACAAGAGATTATGTTTGTTAAACCAATCATTCCAAATCAACCAATGTAGAGTCTTCGTTTCATGTGACCCCCTAAAAGGAATACCCAACAAATTGAACAACTTAGGCACTAATTCTTGGTGAGCCTTCTGTTGAAGCCTCTGAGAGGGAAGCCCGATTGGCTTGAGCAGCCTGTTTACGAGCGGGTTCACTAGACTGGAACAAGCATTCGGGCACGGTTAACTAACTACTGATGGACAAAATCCGCGCCAGGCATCAGAAGGTGGCATATATCCCAGTAGGGTTTGTTCCATCCGAACAGTTGCTCAGGGAAAAGGAATTCTCAACACAGGGGCCACTGGGCTCACTCAAAGAGGCTTTTCCACCGAGTGGCTGCAGGAATTCCGCATCCCCCACGAGCTCCGGGCGGAAGGGCAGCCTCAGGCAATTGCATGCAATCGCCGGTGGCACGGAGGCGCGGAGTTTCATGCCCTCAACTGTGGGGCTCAGAAAAGCCAGATGTTCAGACTGTCAGATGCTTCATATTCAGTCTACCCTAAAATACGACATGGTTGAGAAGGAGACCTCCAGAGTTGGTAAGTGGCTACTTGGATGTTGGTTGCAAGGTTGGTAAGTAGTTGGCCACTTTGGGGATTGTCACCCCTAACCAGGTTAGCCCCACTTAGGGGGATTTAGGAGTGGGTTTCACCCCCCTAAACTGGGGGTTGTGCTTTCCTCTATGTTTCAAGTTGCCAAAGGTGAGGAGTAGGATCCATTGCATTCTATTTGTTTAATCAAAAAAACACATGTTGGCCGAGCCGCAGGATGTGAGTGCCATCTCCCTCGTGCGTGGCGAACGCGCAGGGCTCCAGCCAGCGGGGCGTGATGTAGGCGAGCTCGTCAGGGCCGGGCACCTCTCGTGAGTCGCAATCAAAACCTGCCTGAAGATTCATTCTCCGGCCTTTTCCTAGGCGTTTTGGTTTCCTGGTAGAAAAGGTGATACAAAAATGGTGAACCCAGATGGTGAACCCAGGTGGTACAAAAATGGTGAACCCAGATTCATAGTAAAAAAATAGAAAGGCGGATATCCGCAACTATTTCCGGCTGGGACTGCCCCTTAACCTTCATCTACCCGGGTTTTGATGGTGGCTGCCGTCTTTAATCTCCAAAGGCGCGTGTCGCTTTTGCAAGGTCCCTTAAACCAACAAAATAAATACCCGTGGCTGGTGTGATTTGTAGTATTTGCCTTTTTGTGCCAAGCTTTCTGTTGCATGGTTTAAGGGAAATCTGGGAATTCAACCTGTTGCTAAACATCGACGTTTGGTAGCGTGCCTCTTAAGGGTTCAAGCAAATCAATGGCAATGACCCAGTTTAGATGACACTCCTTAGGTAAACTATGGCGGTCCTCATTGTATGTCTCCACCGTTGCTTTAATGGTGGCTTGAATCCGAGGGTTAAAGGACACGGGGGCCACTCAACAATATCCTTTCCCAGCTGTGTATCCTTTAAGGATCCCTTTTGTTACCGAATACAAACAGGATTGTATCTTTGTTTAAGCCCACCGGAACTGCTCTCTTTTGGGGGCTCCCAAACAATTGTTGCCATATACCCATCTTCGAAAACCCAGGCTTTCCATGGTAAATATTCCCTTTTTTAGAGTTGAAGTGAGCGCAAGTAAACCTTCGGCGTTATGCGATCAGAGTTTCGCGAAAACCGGATGGACCTTTTAGGAGGGTGTTTTGCAAAATGTGGACCCATCCTGGCGATGTTTGAATCATACCAAAAGGTGATGTTTGAAACCACCCAAAGCTACCTCACCTTTCCCCCCCTCCAAACCAACAAGCTGTTTAATTCTGATTCAACATGAGTACACCTTACTTAAAACAGCAAAACAAATACCAGAAGCAGGCCTTGAACTGGATGGGTTCGAAATAGGATCCCGGTTTCATTCGCCGAAACGTGGATGCGAACATGAACCAAGATTCCAGGGTTGGGCCAACCTGTTTATGCCACTATTGAACCTCTCAGTTTACTATCCCTTCAAAGAGAGCCCTGCTTCAAATCTCAGGCTGAAAAGGTGCAGAAATTAAGTCCAGCCACTCAACGAAAACATCAAATAACAGTTCAAAGAAACATGTGAAGGTTTGGCTTCGGAATCCCACCCCCAAGCCTGCTCCCCATGGACCCCTTGGTATTCAGAGCGAAACCAAAGGAAACGATGAGGTTCCCCGATCTGGGTGTCTGCTTTTCGGGGGACACGCCAAAATTGATTTTGCCCTTTCTCCAGGTTTCCCTTTCAACCAAACCCACCAAGGGGTACCAGCCTCATCAGACCATGGGTCAAAATCCTGTACCCGCAGTGAACATCCCAATCCCGACTAATATAGACTAAAATGGATGGTGCACCTACCCCCAACATTGACCATGGTACCATCGGTTGTAACCCGCAGCCATCTTGGCCAAACCCATCGTTGAACCCCTCGCTGCCTCGAACTTGAAGCGGAACTTTCCGGAGCAGATCGACGGGGTGTTGGAGCAAGCGAAGACCGACTTGAAGCCAACACCTGGACTCAGCTTCCTCTTGGGTGGAGCCCGAGTGGTTCGGTGGTGTGTCCGGGTGGCTTCCTTTGGAACGGTGGTTTGGATGTTAAGGGGGGAAGGATGTTGGGGTTCAACCACCCAAACAAACCTGAGGGCCATGGGAAAAGACACGGCACCCCTTTTTGGTAGTTGATTTCATGGGGAAAGATTGTCTGAGTGCTTTCCTTGACCCTGAAGGCCATCAACCCGAGCAGAGCTGACGTGTGCTTGGAAACCTGCCTACCAGTAGCTTGTGATACCTTATCTAGGTCCTCCAGTAGAGAGGTTAGAATAAGGGTACCCTTCTTTGCTGTAGTCTGTTTTAGTAGGGGAACCCTCCCCCAAAAATGGGGAAAAGGGCAATACTGGGGGACCTAGTTATGGCTATCAAATGGCAGCCTTTGTGCCCTTATTTGAGATGTTGGGGTCCAATCCTTGGACGATCGGCATCGTGGCAGAAGCCGGCGCCTCTTTGCTTGAGTGTGTCTTCCGCTGCGCCTGCATTTGGGCAAAGCCTCATTTGTTGCCCCCCCCCCCCCCCCGAGAAACAAAAAAACTGAGCGCGCCTGGTTTTGATGGAACTCTTCTTTGTTGTGAATTTCAAGAAAGCCAAACACCCATCTTGTTTTTGTTGTGTTTTATTATTTTTGTCGGGCGTTCTCCTGATCCTTAACATGTCAGTCCTTCCAAAGAGATCCCAGTCACGGGGGTGCATGGCAGCCCCTGAACAAACAATCGAAAAGCATGCCTAGGAAAAACAGCAAACACTCGCCTGTCTCAGAGGGTTTCCACTAGCCCCAAATCCCAAGGGGTACATGACATGGGTAGGTGTCAGGGGCGAAGAATATGAGCGCTTGCTCTTGGGCTTCCTTTGAACCAATTGGACCCAATTGGTTTCCCTCTTAAACTAACCAAAAACATGGGTCCCGTGAAACGAACGCACCGCCCCTTCCAAGGCGCCCTTATGGCCCAAGAACTCGTCCCCAGACTTCGTGGACACCGCAAGGCTGCACAAAGACAGCACGTCCTGCAAGTCGCGAACAGAAACTGAGACCCTCACTCCCACCAAATGGCACCTGACAGGTGACCCTTCAAGCGGAAATTGAATTTCCAGGCACCCACAGGTGCTATGTTAGCGGCAGGACGGGTGCTTGCAACTGTCTTGCTGTAAGTGGGTACATGGTCATTCCCTGCTCGGTTGCTCGTCTCTTGAACCCAGCCAGTTAGTGGGTCTACCCGAAACTTTGTCCAAATCTGGCTGGCACGCAAAAAATGGTTTCAGATGCTGGTCAGTAGGTAGTCTATAACATGAATTGAAAGAGATCTCAGAAAACCCACGGTAAGCAATCCAGAAAGCGGATATCCATAGATATCCGCGGACTGCCCCTGGCTGTTCTCCCGGATCGGTTTGAGCAAGTTGCCCGGCAACTGTTTACCCGAGAAACAAGGGGTACCTTAGCTCGGTTGCTTTCTGCTCCCCTGCTAAAAGTTTAACTTTTAGTGGTTAGTGGAAAACCCATTAGTTGGCAAAAAGTTAAAGTCCTAACAGCCAAGCAAAATGCACCAAAGTTAGATTTTCTCAACTTCTGCTAACTTAGGTTGTAACCTACCGGGCTAACTCGATCCACTTTGGGGCGACTTCGTAGGCCATTGCAACTAAACTACTCACAAGTCCAACTTGAGTTATAGGCTAAGCTACTGGCTATGAACTTGGCTGAACATCTAAGTACCACAGGGATGAGTAGGTCATTCCAGGACTGTTCTCGGAACTTCGTCCTTGGGTCGGAAGCCCCGCTCGTTGTAGAAGAAGTGCGCCTAGCTGCACGATAGCGATTGCTCAGACTTTTGGGGTGGTGCTTTGGCTGAAATGAGCCTTCTGTTTGGGTGCCATCGTTGCTGAAATTGTTCAACGCAACGTTGAACTAGAATACAGCATTGGAGATTGCGAACGTGAACGCAAGCCCCACGGTCCATTGTGATGATACATCAAATGGGAATAGAAACATACTTCATACCTGCAATTGCTAGTGGTGGTAGGGGACAAAACCACAAGACTTTGTTTAGAACCTTTCAAGTAGAGGCAGGGACAACTATAAGCTGGCTGGCCAAATGCACTTCCTGAAAGGCCCAAATGGCAACAACCCCAATGGACTCTAAAGAAAACAACCACAGCTGGTTTGGCCACAACCATTCTGAACATCCACACCCCTACCCTCTTGGGAATCTCTGGATGCCCTTCACACGGGTTTTGCAAGGCCTGTTTAGGGAAGCCCCTTACTCACTTCCTTGTTGGACCCAATCTTCTCACACCCCAATCTGCTCAAGCCCCCACCAGAACCACAACATGTCAAGTAGGAATAGATCCCATTTAAAGCCAACAAGGAAAAACACACAAATACCCTCAAGCAAATGGAAGCACAAGTTCAGTAAAATCCAAGAACTCAGGACCACAGCAAGAAGGACTCTTGCGGACTTTGCAAAACTCGAGCTTTCATTCCAAAGGTGCGTCCCCGGAGTTCCCATGACCCTTTAAGCAAGGAGACATCACCCCCCCGAGTAAATACCTCATTTCTTAATGGGTTGGAGGGTCCAGGTATCCCCGCCAAGAATTTCGATCCACAAAAAGTGTGATGGTCAATGAACATTCATTGATCATATCTGGGATTTCCGCAGTTGTCTGAACTCGGATCCCTGAAAAGAATGCTTGCGTAGTATCAACCTCTGCATTGCTCAACAATCTGTCTAATAAAATTGTCTACCCAAAACCATGTCAAGATTTACAAGGTTTATCTGTGGCCACTGCCTGCTGACCTTACCAGCTTGTCAGTTTTCGCGGAGCCGTCGCATCCAGGCCTGGTCGGCCGTCACGGTGAGTCGGAAGCTGGGCTCCTGAAATCGACATGAAAGACTCGTTTCGGAGTCCCGCCGAGTGTGGGTGTTTTGCGTGTCTTGCTTTTTTGGGGCACCCGTTTTTGGAGGTTGGCTTCAAGGGAAGACTATGTCTTGCACCTCCAGACAACACTTAGGGCATACACTTCTTTCCCCCACTGTGCATTCAAAGGGGAGTGTGTTGCATGTAGCATGTTGGCAAAGTTCTAGTTGGTCAAGCGTGTTCAGGCTGGCCAACAACAGGAGCCAACTGCGACCTCAGCTTTTGCCCAACATGCCCCACTAGAAATATGTGTTTAGATTGTGGTCCTTGTGGCAGACATATTGATGTGTTGACGTAAAGATTACAACCTTGCTGGTGCTCAGGGGATCAGGAAATCAATCGAACAACAACCTCCGTGAATCATTCCTTGCGGCGTCCTTTCAGAGGATCCGGATTCTTCCCAAATTGTGATGCCCAAGAATCAGCAAGATCATGCAAATTGATCTGCATGAGTCTGCATGGTTTGCAATGAACCCAGACTTGAAATAAGGGATCCGCGTGTAAAGCCCTACATCACGGTTCACTTTTGACCAGTGTCGCGCCATAGAATATGCAGAACTGATGTCAATGCAGAGTTCACCATCCCTCACTTCCCGAGTGGCAAAAACACATCAACACGTTTGTTCGCCACTTAATTGGTCCAAACCAAAAGAGTAGGCTTCCAGACACTCAATGTGGCTCCTGTAGGTAGCTGCAGTCGTCCGCGTTCTGCAGCAGTTCGTCCACAAAGTGCACGGAGGACCTAAGATGGGGATGCCTTTTTTGAGACCCGTTTTGGAGGTTGATTCACAGGGGAAACCAACAGGACACCGTTGCCATTTTTTGGGGTCTCCCTATCTTAACACAGTCGCATTTTTTCGGGGTTCCCATATATTCAAGACACACCCATATATATATATATAAAAGTACACACCATTTACTACCATTAACCAAGATGCCATTTTGGTGCATTTATTGGAGCTACAGCCTATATATATATATAGGTACCGCTGCTTTCCAAGCCATTCCATCGCCAAGACGCGTGTAGAGGTTCTCCCCCAGCTGGCGCAGCGCCCCGCACAAGGAGCTCCGCAACGCGGTCACGGAGTCCCGGCGCTTGGCCAGCCGCGCCACGAAGCTTTGGGCGTCCTCGGAGCGCGGCTTACGCGGCTCGCAGCGCGTGAACTTGCGATCGGCGCGAGAGATGCAGCGAATGAGACATGGAATAACCTCAAGAAAATCTGGCCAAGTGGTGGTTTCCATTGAGGGAATTTCCAGGTTCATTCCCTCATTCCCTGAGCACCAGAAAGTAAACTGGCCAACAAAAGCTCATACACTTGTTGTTTAAAATTAAACATGCTCCCTAAAGAGTTCAACATGCAGGAACTCGGATTGTTTGAGGGTTCCCTTTTGGGGCCCTTTTCCAAGGGAACAAAAGCGCCCGCGCCCTGGGCGGGTCCCCTAATTTTGGGACAAATACAGTTCAAGGGCATGATTTTTCATTGGGGGAGCTTCTTAACATGGTTCTACGGGGACAACCAACCACCAAAATTTGAGAAGCACATATTTGGCCGAATGGTTCCCAACCACATACTAACTCCACGAACACCCAAGAGTAGGGAACAACAAAGCATTCCTCTCCTCGCTCCCTCGAGATCACTCCCACAAGCTCAGACCTAGCGACCGCCTCGCTCAAGGACTCGACATCCGCCTTCAGCACCCAATCCTCGGACCGGACTTTTGACGACTTTTGCCCGCAGATTTGGCGGTGGACCCCGGTTGAGCTGTGGTTGTAGGGAAACCTCAAAAGGAAACCACCCGTGCTAGGGTTCTTCCGAATTTTGAGAAGCACCTACCTGCCCTCTGAGGATGGAACGGATTGAGTGCTGAGCCGGTTGCAGCAGTTTGGAACATGTTGCCAGGGGATCTCACGGGCGGACCTTCCCAGGATTCAATTTTTACCAGCCATAACCACGGCAGCTGGCAGCCTCTGCAAATGGGTAGCTTCTGTTCCAAAAGCACGGTCCATGAAGACAGCCAAGCCATCGCAGGAACACAAGTACTTCACGGGATACAGCCGAAGCCCCCTTCGGACGAAGCGTCAGCGCCTTGGCAGGGTAACCTTCTGCAGGTGAGGGAAAATGTAGGAACCGAAAAAGGGTGTGTATACCTGGAGTCTCCGTGACCCTTACAAAATGGGGTCATTACCCAAAATTAAGGGGTCATGGACCCATTTTTTAAGGGTCATGGAGACTCTAGGTATATATAAAAGCTAAAGGTTGGTCTTCAATGAAACCAGCCGAATGGTTGCCTGAACTATTCCAAGCAAATTGAAGCCGGTCTCATTTTTTGGAGGGTACCCGTTTTAGAGTTGGTTTAGAGGGAAGCCGAAAGGAAACCATAAGCAAACCCACCATTTTGTGGGTATCCCTGTTTTGAGACACCCATCTCAGAGACTACGGTACACCCAGACCGACCGAAGCCCGCTTCATGACTCCTTCATACTGGGTGTGGTCAGAATGCCTTATGTCATCCCTTGCAACTCCAAAAGCACCTATGGATTGCAATCACGAAGGGGTGCAACTCCAAACAAAAAAAGCCCTTACCATGATTGTCCAAACTGCCTTTAAAAATCAGGGGTTCATCAAGAAAGAAAAAAAAACGTTTCGACCGTGGGGCGCCTTTGCTAGGACCGGCAGGAGCTGAACACCCCCGATTCAGCAAATGGAAACACACCCCCGGAAAGGAGCTGTTTCAAAACCGCAGTCTCAATCACACGAGAATTGAATCCGCCAAGAATCAAGCAAAAACAACAATTAATAACCCTGCACTTTCTGAGGGCTGTTAGATTTACTCGAAACATCCACAAATAAGAGCACTTACGGTACCGTTTCATAACCATTGGAAGGTGCTAGAGGATAGATTGCATGGCGCTGACGCAAATATCCCTTTCAACTACCACTCCATCCAACGAAACCTCGACCACTACGGGTCCACCAGCAGCAGGCGATGCTAAACCGCCCGAAAAGGAAACATGTGTGTGTGTGTGTGTGTGTCAAAATAAGGGGACCTCCTAAATCACAGTTTTCCCTTTGGTTTCCTTTCGAAACCAACCTGCAACAAATAATTGGTACTCTTTACCCTTTCACAACCGCACTCCCATGTGGGTGTTATTTTTTAGGGGACCCCCATAATGTGGTTGTCCGTTTGGTTTTCCTTTTGAATCCACAAACACAAACATAAACTCTCATATATGTATATATATATATATGCACCGCTTGCGTTTCTCCAACCGAGTCTCGTCCTCCTCGGCCTCGACGTCCGCCTCCGCTCCCATCGGAAGCGCGGGCGGTGCCGAGGCCGCGGAAACCGCAGCCGCGCGGGTGAGCTCGAGGTCGGCGACGCGCTGCGCAAGAGTCTTCCTGGCCAGGGGACTGCTGGGTTTTGGTTTGCAGCTTGCGGTTTCCCATAAAAAAAAGGTGCCCGCCAACAAAAACGGAGACCACAACAATGGGCTTCGGACTGGAAAGCTTGGCTTGCCTTAAAGAAAGAACGAAGGGGTGCCAAAAGAAAGACGCGCTCATATATGTTTGGTTTTCTGAATATATAACTGGAGCCTCCTGCTGACTCGTTGAACATTTTGTTTACTCAAAGAACGGAGTGACCACATATCTTAAGGGTCGTGACTCCCCAGCCCAAAATCGCATTCACATGGAAATCCTCTCGAGGTTCGGCAAGTGCTCCACTTCTTCACTCCAAGCCTGAAACAATCCCGTTTGTTTATTGGCTACAAAATGGTGTTTGATCCTGCTTTTCCACCCAAACCAGGTTTTTCGGCTCCGTTCTACCTTCTGGGGCCCCAAAACCAGGTTAGGGGTCGGGGAAAAAGAAATATTGGGTCAATTTGGCGGTTTGAACGATGAGGGGTTGAGTCGCCGCCCAGCGGAACCAACCCTGTAGGCTGGCTAGCTCCCAGCTGGGGAGCGCCATTTCTTACCCACCCTTAGCAGCTAGGGCCTTCAAAAGGCCTTTTTAGAGGTCCAAAACCTTCCAAATCCTCACCCCTTCAATTGGATGGTCCAGTGATGCCTAGCATAGGGCAAAAAACAAAACGCCTACGTGCCTGGAGCAACCGCACTTGAGTCAGGCGGCTTCTCTTCAAGCAGCAAGGCCATCGCATCCCTGCACCGCTGCACCTCCGCCTGAAAGGAGATCCCAAACCCTTTGGCTCAAACCTTCTGAAGCCTAAAGCAGGGTTTTCAATATGTCCCCTTTCACACGGTCACCAAAAGAAAGCTCGTAGCGGCTTAACGATATAAAGAGGAAATACAGGGAACCCTGTGAAGCGGGGGGGTGTCGTTTTTGGGGAAAGCCACCCTTTTGGCAGGCTTTCAAAGGGGAACAAAGAGATGATCTCATTCGTGTGTTCACTGCCAAGCAAGTACTTCAGCAATCTAGGTTTTGACACACTTGTAAGTGCAGCCAGGGTTTTAGCCGGTGGTGTGCGGGATGTAAATCATCAGGTTAGTGCCTTGGAGCTTAAATGGCCATGGGTCAAAATCCCGTACCCCCGGTGAACATCCCAATCCAACCACTAAATTGGTCCTTTCTCTGGGTGGTGAACTCACCTACCCCAAAATGGGATCGATCCCAAAACGGTTTTGATCCGCAGCCAAATGACTGGAGCCTTCGGATCGGGCCTTTGACCTGAGCCATGGACCTCCGTCGAGTGTTTTTGCGGGAACGACGCCTTCGCCTTTAGATCCTGGGCGGGAGACCTCAAACGATTGATCCCTTGCACGAATCACCAGTCCCACTCAATAGTTGTCTCCTTAAGACCCAGCGAAGTTGTCAATATGCTGACTTTTGGTAGAGGCTTGGATCTTCTAAATCGTGGCGCAGGCAGCTGATGTCCAGATCTGACGAAAGTTGACTGTGAACTCCGTAGGCTCCTGTCTGTACGCGAGGGGGAAACATAAATACGTAAGCAAAATAAACACATACAATAATTATACTTAAATAAGAAGCACATACATACACAAATAAGGAAATCAATGAATCAACAAAAAACAAACATGAACAACAGTATATGAATGAAACGAGCCCCCTTGGCTAAGGCCGGTGCCCTGAAACACACCATCCATCCCTTTTCGACCCCACCCATTTTCGGAGCTGGTAGGGAATGAGAAATGGAATGACGCCTATAACCAGGGGCGGCTACAAGAGCGTTGGTTAAGTAGGAAGAATTTCCTAGGGAAGTTGCAAACATAAACAACCCCGTTAACTCTCTGCTACTATCAACAACTATCACCCCCCCGCCCCCCACCCCTCGGCCGTAAACAGAAGGCAAAAACAGACACACATTGATACCCCATGACTCCTGTTGCCATTGCGCCTTCCTTGGAAGCTGCCCCTCGTACCCACAAACCCTCACTCACGAATCCAGTCGCAAAGAGGCGCCTCCTTGCGGCGACTGTCCTCTCAAAGATGCCCATGCCCATCCCCAAAGGCATTTCCGTTGCCAAGTAAGTGGTTCGCATCCTAACCTATTTACAAGGCAAACGGTAAGTGGCTAGTATCCTAGGTAGCATATCTACAAGGCTAGCAGCGCTTGGTGGACTTATAAGTAGGTCATAACCTGTTGCTAACCACTTATTAACATGGCAACGAAGACCCAAGAGGGAAACGGAGGGGACCCCTTCACCCAAAGGATCTAAAATCACATTTGAGCACCAAACTCCCCAAACGTGATTAAGCCTCATTGACTTCTGAGCCCAACTCTGGAGATTCAGCATATCATTCTACTTCTGTTCCGTGTGAGTATGGGTCAAAATTGAAACACCAGAAGACTGCAGATTCTGGGCCATGTTTCCATTTACCAGGGCAACCCATTTGGGAAACCGATGCTTTACCCACACCCATATGCAATCTAACAAACGAAAAGCCCAGTGGTGTCCCCAACAGGCCGCCCCAAACCAACCCAGAGCCTATCTGTGCAAAGACCCCATAGCTTTCAGTTGTTGGGGAAAAATACACACAACATGTTCACACAACACCCCCAATATGTCTAGAAAGGAAATATAATATCCGCAAAGAATCTCATCATGAGTTGAGTCACTCGTGTTGCCCCCAATCTATGGAATCGCTCCGTATGTTTTGGTCAAAACACTACGATCAGCGTTGGGCTTTCAGACCTCTCAACAAGTCAAACTTGTTGATAGTCAATAGAGCAACAGTCGCCCCAGGGTTCAACCAATTCCCACAAAAACAAAATGGCCCAAGGGAAGGGGCCCAATTTAATTAGACGAGTTCGTCTTGAACAGTAGACAATAGTGGTTATATCTCTCTAACCATTGTTTCAGTTGTCAACGGTGGTTTGAATCCCAGGCGTCATTTTCCCAAAAGCTTAAAAGCTCAGCTCGATGGTAATGAAGGTCGTTTCTTTCCTTGGGTTTTATGCCTGACGTCAGCATATTTGGAGGGTATGATTCACCTGGAAGCATGTGAGAAGCTGGACCTGGACAGCTGATGGAATGGTTCTCAGAAGCTGATCCCCTGGACAATCTTCATGAGCTCGGATTTCCCTTAGCTTCTTGCAAAAGGTGGCCAAACCGTGCAGACAATTGGTTGCACGTGGCTGTTTGGGCGTAGATGGCAATATTTATGGTTGATGCGGTTGGTCCATCCTCAAACTCACCCTCCAAATGGTGGACTAAAAAGACAAAAAACAGCACAACCCAAGTCCAGCCAAATTTCGGCTTCCTTCCCAAACCCACCTAAACCAACCGAAACCAAGCTGCACCCCTCAACATAGCTAATCCAATTTCCGGCCAATCGAACACCAACAACAAGAACAGTTTCACCGGTTTTCCCTCGCTCCGGCGACCTTCCTAAACCAACCTACTCCAGGCCCCCAATCGAACCCGCGCGATGTACCGCTTTTCACTCGGCTCCGGATATCGATCGGCGATCGAGCGATCGATCGAATGGATCCTCCTGCAGCGATCCGGCGATCGAGCGATCAATCCGACCCATCATGGAGGTGTGGGGGGGGGAGCCCCAATGAGCCCGAAATAAGGCCGCTCAAAAGGGCTTATTTGGCTCCTCCCCCCCAGCCCCCATGAATCCATGGCTCCTCCTGCAGCTGGGCCTGCCGCTGGTCCGAAAGCTTCAGCTGCTCTTTGAGCTGCATCAGCTCGAGCACCCGCCGACCCGGGTCCTCCCAGCTGATGGATCGATGTCCAAAGGCCGGGGGCTACGAGGCCCAGTCTCTCTTTTTCTCTGCCCCGGATGGGACGCAATAAAGGTGATCACCTCTTGGGGCCATCAAAAACCAATAATTGTAAAACAAAAAAAAGTTCAGCGAAGGGTCAGAAGGTCGATTCACTTTGGGCAAGTGAGGTTGTCGAAAGCCGTGTTTCCAAAGATGCACCCAGTCATTCGGTCACACCAAAGACCGGCCAGGTGAACAATTTCGCGTTTCCGGTCTGCCTATTCAATTTTGTCCCTTCGCCGTTCTGGCGGTCTTGGGTGTTGGGGGCCGGGGTTCCCTTCCTGTCCCCTTCCACAAGGAGCCTTCCCGGGTGATCAAGCGAAGGCCAGCCGCAAGTTCATGAACAGGGCTTACCTCTTCCTGGACCCTGAAAATTGGCTCAAAACATGGGTTATGGCATCAAAATGATGGGCTGAATTCCGTTTGCCGTGGGTAGCTTGAGGGATTTCCTCTAGCTTGTTCCTGCAAGATGGCCACGCATAACCCGTTATGTCACATCCGATTCGTTCAACCCACGCAAGCAGGTTGTAACCATGGCTCTAAGTGGGACAACAGGGGTTGGCAAGCATACCGATCAGCTGACTTGACTGGCCAAAAGTGCAAACTTGTTCGGCCTTCACTCGATTGATTCAGAACTTGCCAACAACAAAAACAATAAGTGTTCAACAACCCAAGTATAACCGTAGTTGCAACCTACTTGCATGTGGGTCATGGCGGAACATGGAACAAGGCACACCATCCGAATCCAAGACTTCTGCGGCTCCGATGGTGCCGCCACAGGGACCCATCCTTCTGACATTTTGGACATTAAAAACAAAAACTTCAGTTGTCGGGCCCCGGGTGCTGGAGGTTCCCATGTTGCTGGGACTGGCCCCATTCTTTTACCCTCACCCACCCTCACCAACCCCTAGAAAACACGGCCCCAGTGGGAGCCCTCCCCTCCCCTCCCCCCGCACGCTCCGGGCAGCGCCTCCGTCGCCTCGCGCAGCCGGAACTCGGACGCGGACGCCGAAGCCGGTGCGAAGGCCGGCGGCGCCGCGAACGCCGGCGCGTTCGACTCTCCGCTGTCCTTCGTGGGGCCTTTCTTTGATTTTGTGTTTTTTCTCAGGGAACTCTCCCCCAAAAAAGGAAAGAAGGAAAGACAAGAGCAACAAACGCACTTTTTTTGGGGGGGGAGCGGCCGTTGGTGGGGATGTGATGTGTAATAGGAGAATGGTCAAACACACCCAGTGCCTTTGCCAGTGACCCGTTTCCGGTTTTCCCGGGGAGAGTTTGTTGTGGCGTCGCCTCAAATGACAGCCTATGAAATACACATCCGCCGGGGCATGAAGTGATCAAAGTCCGTATTTGACTGGGCTCAATATGATCCCAGTGCTTCCACCAGAAAAGAAGGTGGCGGAAGCCGTCATGTCAAACATAGAGCTAAACATACCTGCTCGCATACCACGGTTGTGATTATAAACGCAAGGCAATCGCTTGATGCTATGTTTGTTTGGTGTGTTCAGGGGACACTGGAGAGCACGCCAACCAACCAACCAACCAACCAACCAACCAACCAACCAACCAACCAACCAACCAACCAACCAACCAACCAACCAACCAACCAACCAACCAACCAACCAACCAACCAACCAACCAACCAACCAACCAACCAACCAACCAACCAACCAACCAACCAACCAACCAACCAACCAACCAACCAACCAACCAACCAACCTACCCAAGACAAAGAAGCAAAGAAACAAAGAAGCAAAGAAAGAAACAGAGAAAGAAATACATAAAGAAAGAAACAAAGAAAGAAATACATAAAGAAAGAAAGAAAGAAAGAAAGAAAGAAAGAAAGACAGAAAGAAAGAAAGAAAGAAAGAAAGAAAGAAAGAAGCAACATCCAACCAACGAACCAAGCAACCAAGCAACCAAGCAACCAAGCAACCAAGCAACCAAGCAACCAAGCAACCAAGCAACCAAGCAACCAAGCAACCAAGCAACCAAGCAACCAAGCAAGCAAGCAAGCAAGCAGCAAGCAAGCAATGAACCAAACAAAACAGCAAGCAAGCAAGCAGGCAGGCAGGCAGGCAGTCGTGCAGGCACGCAAGCAAATGAACAAACCAAGCAAGCAAGCAAGCAAACAAACGTCTTCAACAAACCAACCCTCTCAACACATCAACCACACACCGACATATCAATCATTTTCCACGAACAAAAACAACAAACCGCCAAAGACCTCTCCAGGCGTCCTCCACGGCTCTCTCCAAAGTCGCTGCGACGTTCTTGGACCGTGCCATCAGCGCGAGCAGCGCCATCGCTTCGGCCAAGCCCTGCTCAATGCCCAGATCCGACAAGGACGCCACCAATAGTTGCAGGTCCTCTTGCTGGATGGCTCAGGGCTCCAAGCGTAGATCGTTCAACTGGGTGGGTGCTTTTCAGGGGACCGGTTTTTGGGATTGCAATGCAGGAAAACCAAAAGCAACCCAACATTTTGGGGGCCCTCTTAAGAAAAAATGCTAGATGCGATTTGGGAACCAGAGAGTTCAAGTTCAGACATCCTAACTGCAGGTCCGTCATCACGCATTTCCGACCCAAAGCCACAGGCGGTTCTTGGATTCACTTTCAAACAACACCAACAGCTTGGTGTTACATAGGCCAAAAATTGGCAATCTATGTGGCACCCACCCTGCTGTTGGTAGGGGTCGGCAAGAATTAGTTCTAAATTTTACCCCCCCCCTTTGGGCTTCCTTTAAGGGAAACTCATGACTATGTATATATATATATACATATATGTATTGATTGTCTAACCCCAAAAGGGTGCCCTCGAAAAGAGACATACATGTTGATTGTCCATCCAAGGGTGCCCTCGATGTGTGAGAGAAAGTGGACATGAGCATGGTCATCATGCCGGTTGGAGTAGCACCTTTTGCATGTAGCACCCTTGCGCTTGGGCGTGGCCAACAGGAAAGCAGTCCTACAAAAGAGGTCTGTGAAGGTTCAAATGGAAAAAACACTTTGGCATCCCACAAATGAAGATGACATAAAGTTCCTTGGCCTTCTTGTTGAACTGACCCCCGTCTAAAGAAGTGTTTTATCTGTTGCTAGGACAGGTCAAAGGGGGTCAATGATGAAAAGCGAAGGTCTGAGCGAGAAGTGTGCTCAAATGCCCAGACTTTCACAAAAAAAAATCAAACATCACGTTCCGAGACTTTTTGAGGGGCGCAGAACATCAGAACTTACTCAGGGCGCAGGTTCCTTTCAAAGCATTCCTAGTGTCAGGGTGTCTTCGGTTTCCTCCCTCTGCAAAGACAAAGTGATGGAAACCCAACAAGGCAAAAAGCCAAAGAGACAAGTCACGATGAAGCCACGTCACCCCCCCCCCCCCCCACATCACCCTCCCCCCCGTGCGTAACCCCCCCTCCCCCAGTCGCTCTCCTTCATCAGTGTCCCAGCCCGCGCGGCGCTCGCGGAACTGGACGTGGCATCCGAATTCGCGCTCGATGCCCCGTAGCGCGCCAGGCGCAGGAGGCTGGCTGCGAGCTCCTGGGCGGCAGCAAGAATGGGTAGGCTGTGGGCTCAAAAAGATGTGCCAAAATGGCACCTTGGGGAGGGAAGCACAGACTAAACCCTGCGTAACCCTGGCAGTATATAACTTTGAGCCACGCCCATGTCTGTTCTTTTGGTTGTGATTTGCTGTTTTTGTTGGTACATGGACCCTCAAACTACCAAAATGGCACCTGAGTCATAGTCATAATCAAATGCCGGTATTAAACTGGTTAATCAAAGCCATGTAAAGAATCAAGCAGGCGGCCGCAGCTATTTATGGTTGGGAGTGTCCCGCACTAACCTTCATCTACCCGGGTTTTGATTGTGGCTCACCTTGGTAATGGAAGCAAAGACTCAAACCTGTACCCTGGGGCAAAAAAGATATGAGCCACGCCCATGTCTGTTTTTGTTGTGCTTTGCTGTTTTTGTTGGTACATGGACCCTCAAACTACCCATACAAATGGGAAACACCAACATGTTGGGGCAATATCCAACTTTGGATGGGTTTGAGGGTCCAGTTGTGTTTTTGCTGGTTTTAGAGGGTACTACCTGTTCCGGCTTACTCCGCTTTTCAAGGGTACCGTTTCAGCTTGGCTCGAAAAGGAACATCAAAAGGGAAACCCGCAATCCTGTTCGTCCAAATCCTGATCTTGCATGATCAAATGTATGTATTCATATCCCACAACTAGGATTCGCGGAAAATGATAACTCGGATCCTGGATCGAATTTAGTCTACCCTATGTGTAGGTATACAGATATGATAAAGTATGTCAGAAGGAGACCCCAGTTCACCACATGCCTTCTCCCAACTTCCCCTTGATTGATTGCACCCTGCGAGTAGAAGTTGAACCTATATAACCTGCAAATTATGGCGCAGCATGCTATTACTAAATGGGTCGAACCATTTATTACTGAAGGGACCTTTTCTGCTTTTCCAGGCGCCCCAGCTCAATTTAGAACCCAGACTCCAAATACTCCAGCTTGTGTTGCGGCTATGTCAACCGCGGACTAAAAAGGAAGGTGTTTTCCATGGAAAGCCTGCTGTTTCAACCTTTTTCCCTGGAAAGCGGGTACTTGGAACAGGGGAACTATGAGTTGGTGGCTTGGATTGTTTTACCATGAAGTCTCGGCCAAAGTCTGAGGTACAAGTAAAACACATTTCTGATAAGACACTTAATTGAGATCCCCGAACGATTGCCCTGCAATGTCTAACCACCTTCTTTCTGGTGAAGATCGACTTTTCGGCAATTGTGGATCCTTTTTTCAAAGACCAAACCTGGTCGGATTGGCGGCTTAGGGCTTTGGAGCCGCGCACTTGAACATGATTTTAAGCTTCAAAGCATATGCCATATCCCCAGGTCCTAGCGGCAATGGGAGAAAGGGGGTCCACTTTTCTTTCCAGTTTGTTCTTAGCGGGTCCACCCCCTCAAAAACAGAGTTGGAATAAAGAGCTCGCAACCCACCGGGTGTCTGGATATCGGCCATCTGGTTGGCTTGGATTGTGGCTGGATGGGCATGTTCAAATATTAAAGGGCCCCCAGCTCAATTTACCCCCAACAACATCAGCCCATCAAAACAAGGCCGCATGAACCCATAGAAACACATGGGAACTACAGGAAATTGGATTTCCAAACACCCAGCAAAGAAATGTGTTTATTTCTGTGGACACTTCCCGGTTTCTTGGAGGGTGTGCCTCAAAATGGGGAAACCGGAGAAAAAGAATAAAAAACAGTGGATTCTCTTTGGCTCCTTCAACACCGCAAGGGTAGAATTTCCTGCAAGAGACACAAGACAGCAAGGGGAAATATTGGGAACATCTCTTTCTCTCTCTCTCTCTAGATGCAGGACATGCTACCCTCAGGGTGTTTCCAAAGGAGCCACTGGGTGGTACCTCTGGAGCCAGCGGATGGTACCTCTAACCCGCCAGTGGAACCTAATGTTGACCCCAGATCAAGATAAACCCGTCGTAGTAGGGAGGTGCTTCCTCCAAAAGCGGTCCGAATCCCCACTTAAAAACAGAACACCCACTTCTCTCAAAATCAGCCGGCGGGTTCTACTTGGGGGGTCGATCAACATTCCTGTGAAGCATCATCTTCTTGCGTGGCTTCCCTGATGGTCACCCCATGTTTTACGGCCCTTTTGATCAACTTAGATGCGGGGTCAACTTCTCCAACCAGTACCAACCAGTACCAAGTAGCACCTGACCCCTACCATTCTGGTAGACCCCCATCAAGATCAACCAACCCTTACCAGCCAGCAGAACCTACCCTCCCCCAGGCTAACATGGAAGCTTTGAGGACTTTGAAAGACTTGGTTCCATTCACAAAGGCCAATTGGGGGAGCTTCCGGCTGTTAGTCTGAGGGAGTGTACCGATGGTGTTTGTTTCCCCCCGCTCTCCAGGAAATTTGCACCAGCCAAATACCAGGGCGTTGCTGAGAGTCCTGTGGATCTGCCTCTTTTAGGGGACTTTCATAGAATAGGGATCCTTACACCTGTACACCTGAACATCGCAACTTGTCAATGGTGGTTTCCAACTTTATTTCGGTGTTCAAAAAGCGCAGCATGTTTCAAAATGGTGGCAAAACGTCTCTTTTGAGGAGCCCTGTACCCAGCATGTCCGAGGCTCCGCTGCCAGGCCCAAAGCCCCCGAGCGCAAGGCCGCGCTCAAGCGCTCCGCCAAGGGCTGCGCCAGGGAGGCCTCGCAGAACTCCCCGGAGGCGAGTGAGTCGGGGGGGGGGAGGTCTGTTGGGGGTCGGGGGCTGTGTGATGTGTACCTGGACCAGGGTGCTGCAACCAACTTATGGTGGGTGATTTCCTGGTTTTGGGACACCTCCAAATTCCAACTTCAGCGTGGGTTCTTGCAACCCACAATTGTGGTTGGCGAATTCCCGTTTTTAGGGGTTCAAGATGGTTCCTCACTTGCCCAAGTCGGAAACCCAAGAACAGGTGATCACCTGTATGGGCCACGACATCAAAGTATACGTGTGGTTTGTTGATATCCATGACTTTCCATGCACTTTCTAAGACGTAGCATATGTCGTGACTGTTCCCTGAGAGCGTCTCGTTTGTTTGAGCAAGCAAATATAGTGACTTGTTTCAAACGGTAACGGCTTTTCACTTAGAACCCAACATACACGCTTCACCACTGGAATTGCAAAACAAAAGGTCGGCGTGTAAATGACCCTGGCTAATTGAACCGGGGCTATCCCTAGAACCCCAAGGGTCCAATGCTTAGGGTCGATTTTCAAAGGGAGATGCCCTGATTTCAGCACCTTGGTCGAGTTTCCGATGTCCAAAGTGACATCCTCAACAGTTCCCCTCCCCCGTCCCCCCCATTAAATGGTAGTTTCAAGAGTCACCCCGACAATTCGAGAAGTACCTCACTTTGACGCCTCAAAAGATTCACTTTGCTTTGTTGTTTTTCTCTCTTTGTTTTTGCTCTGTTGGCTTTTGCCCCTCCAACAAGTTAGACTTTTCTTCCAACCAACGCCACGCCTCCCCCGGCAATTCTCGCCTCCAGACACTTGGAGCAGTGGTCCGGCGCCCGGTCCAACAACTTCCGCAGGGCAAAGGGGTCCACCAGCCACCACTCGCGCAGCCGCTGCCAGTAGTCGTGGCCTAAATAAACCTTGACCCAATTTGGATGATGACAACCCTTAGGTAAAACAACGGTGGTTATATGCGCCCCCCATTGCTTTAATGGTGGTTTGAATCGCAGGGAAAAGCAAAACCCGAGGTTGCAGCTGCGATCAGAGAACCGTGACCAGACCACAAGAAGGTCCTCCAACGTAAAATGTGAAATTCATCGTGTGCAAACCCTTGCGGTCTATTCGCCCTTGAATGAAGAGTCCAATGCTGCTCCCTGCTGCTGAGATAGAAGGTTTCATGTCCCTGGAAGGGAAACGGTCATGACAGGTGTTAGAATTTCAAGCCGTATGTAAGTCAAATGGAAGAATGCAACTACCATCTCCGACTAGTGGATGCAAAAACGAACACCTAAACGACCGGAAACCACCTCGTTGGTTGATGTTACAGGCCAATCCCTCCAAACGCAGCCGGCAAAAAAGGAGGCCACCGGGTGTCCAGGATGATTCAATCCAAAGCCGCCTCCAAATCCTTTCCCGATTGCCAAAGGCTCACGTCAGAAAAACGCCCTAAGCGAAAAGAGGAAAATGTGTTGCATATCCTAAAACGTAGATGAGAGTTGTGAATGGTCAACCTTCGTCTTTGCCTTAACCTTGGGGCCACGGCCACACTCAAAGGCAATCTTCAGAAGTTGCAATTAAATACTTCACGTATCAACACTTAAAGATTCAAGGCCCAACTAAATAGTGTGTTCGTCCGGATTTTGATTACTCTGAGGAGCTGCCGAGCAAAACCGCTACTCCAAGAAGCCGCCCTTCCGGGTTGGAAACGAAACAGGTTTCCCGTCGTAATGTATCGTTTTTCAGCCAGGGATTGGCATCATCCCTTGAATGAAGGACGCGACGCTTGGGTGAAAGTAGATGGCATTCCCAGACTTGGGCTGAATCTCCTTACCCACGCGAATACCACTGTGCCATCTTCCCTGGAGTATTTGTAGGAGGCTGGCCCTCTTTCCGACCGAGAGAAACAAGCCACTGAGAACCGCGCCGGGCGTCGAGGCGCGCACCCAATAGCTGGGCAGCCACTGTTCCTGGCGTTGAAGCATCCTCTCTACCAGGGGATGAAAGGGAGTGGGGGTCCCCCAAGTCTTATTTTATTCCCTGTATTCCCCTAAAAAGAACAGGAACAATACTTATAAATGGAATTCCGGGATCACCCTTCCCCAATTGGATTGAGGGGGAATGTCCAAAACATAATCCCTATTGAAAACCCGCCTTCGGATCTTCTGGACTTGCCTCTGACCTTCCGACAAGAGTCGCCACGGTAAAGGAAACAAACCTCAGCTATCCCAGTTCTGTTTATGACCGGATTGGGTTGAACCGAGTTGCAACCGTTTCTGCGGTAAGTGGGCTACGGCCCAAGTGGCTATCCACTGACTTGGATATCCCAACGACCTGTTTTGCCTTCGGGCAGAAAAAAAAAAGAAGAAGCCCCATTTCCAGGGACCCTTGCGGCTTCGTCAAGGCAAGCCAACCGAACCTCCGAGGTGGATTAAACCGAAGAAAAGCTGGGTGAACCAAATGGGTGGTTTAAGGAAACCGAAAAAGAACCACCAGTTTGTTTCGCACCATCACGCCCAAATGCAGAAAGTCAAGTGACCCATTTAAACTCCAATTCCGAACGAGGACCCCTAGCAATTTCCGACCCAAATGAGCGGATCATCTTTGAGGGAACGGCCAAAGAATCGAGCAGCATCGATTGCCCGTCCCAACCCAAACATCCTTTCCGCTGCTGCCTCCTACCCAAGATAGACCTAAACCTTACTGGGCTTTTGTGCATCCTGTAGTCAAAAAGTGAACCCCTTTCAAAATTACTTTCGGCGGTTGCTTCCCTTTCACCATCTAAAGGGCAGTGTTGAAGATGCCACTTTGGCCCGAATCAAAAAGTGGAGCCCTGCCTACCGCCGAAACCGGCAAGAAACCGCAAAAAGCAAACAAACCCCTTGAACTTGTCCACACTTTACCAATAACCCCGCATTGTTTTGTTTTTGCTTTTTTTGTTTAAGGATATGGCCCACATGTTTATCACTCGCATGTTTATCGTTTCACATGATCGCCGAAACCGGGAAAAACCAACGACACCTCCGATGTTCAGGGTTTTAGGGTACACCGCCGAAACCAAAAAACAAATCCGCTGGCCTTCCCGTCCACTGCCACCAGCACCTCTCCGCCGCCTTCTCCTCCGCGACGGCAGCGGATCTGCACGGAGCGCCAGGCGCCCGAGCTGAAGGCGACCGCCGAAGACGACTCTGTGTCCTGGCGACGGGGGAGCTCCTTCCGGTTTGAAACGCTCCTTGGTGCTGGGGTGAGGAAGTTATGCCCCTTTTTCCCGGTTTTTCAGGGGATGTCCATAGATCCGGCTGGATTGAACAGAGTCTTGCCGGTTTTTGTTAGGTTGGCTGCCATTCACCACTAAAAACTGTTCTGGGGTACAACAAACCATCTTGGATTCTCAGAAAAAGTGAGGAAGCTGTGTGCTTTTGCCCGGTTTCCTAGGGGATGATGACCATGGATCCAACCAACAAGGTACAGTAGAAGTTCAAAGATCCAACCGGATTGAAATGCTTTTTGCCGGTTTCTGAGCTTGGTTGCCAGTAACCCCCTGAGGATAGTTGTTCGGGAGTACTGCAAACTATCTTAGGATTTTATCAATGGGAAGTTGTTTCCGGGCTTTTCAGGGGATGATGTCAACCCCGAATGTTGAACCCAGATCCAAGTAGGACCTGTGGTTGATTAATAGGGGGGGCCTTCTAGCGGGATTAATCAGTTCCCGCACAAACACACCCTATTGATGGGCTAGGTTTATTAATCCGGGGTCAACGATACAAAACACCTTTTGCTTGGTGGGCTCCCCGCCAGAGGTGGATTCAACCCAAGAACGCATTCCTTTTTTGCAAGGGTCTCTACTGGGTCAAGGCGGGCATGCCCTGTTCCAATTCCGGAAGTTGGAATGATATCAGCTATAGCAAAAAGTTAAAGGGTTTATAATTTGGAGTAGCGGGCAACTAATAGGATGTTTGCCTCCGGCTTTGTTCGTGGTTTCTCGTGGTTCCCATTGCCAAAGTGTCCAAAGTAGCAGGGCATTTTGAGGGATTCTCAAAGTAGCCTTTACAGGTTTCCCTTGCACCATTTGGAAGGACATTTTGAGGACACGTTGGATCTTGTTGTACCGGACAACATTCTTTCCCCCGTAAAGGGGACATAGGAGCGGGCAAAGCGCAAAGCGCTTCAAGCACAAGCTTCACTTTGGAGCCTCTGTGAGCTGGTCTTTACTCGGTGGCTTTCTGCTCCCCTGCTAAAAGTTTAACTTTTAGTGGTTTAATGGAAAACTCATTAGTTGGCAAAAAGTTAACGTCCTAACATCCAAGCAAAATGCACCCAAGTTTAATCCTCGGGACCACATTGGTTTGTCTTGCTTGGGGAGTGAGTGGTTGGAAACTTCCAAGGTTCCAGGCAGACCATTGGATGTTTTTCCTGTGCATCCCAAGGGTGTCCGGTTTTGAGCTGGTACCCAACTCCAGGAGCAAAGAGCTGCCAAGTGGACTTGCAAATCCCGGAGGAAGCGGGACTTTTCGTCCTCCACGTGGCTTTCCTCCGTTAGAGGCGCTGAGAGGCACAGCAAAGCCTGCGCCAAGGTCTGCGCGAAGGGAACGCCTCCGTGCTGCGTGAGGTCACGGAAGCAGACCTGACGCGATTAGTGGAGGTGTCGCTTTTTTAAGGTGCCCCTTTTTCGTGGATTTGAAGAACAACCTGTAACAACCTAAAGAAAAAACACATTGTTGTTGGGGTCTCCAAACAAAAGAGCACATAGTGAAGCCCCCAACATGGGTTGTTCTCCTTTTGCTTCCCGTACCAACCTCGAAAAAGGGCACCCTCCCAAAACCTGGGCCAAATGGACAGGAATGTCTCTGACGGAAGGCATCCGGCGAGACCCTCCCGCCTGGTAACGCGGAGCATCCGCGTCCTAAGGAAAACACACAACGGAGACGGAACTTCAGAAGCAGAATGGCGAGTCATGTGGACGAAACCCTGCACCACCTATATGTAAAAGCCCTAGCAACAAGTATTGGTTCATAACTACTGATCCAAAGGGATCTTGTCCACAGTACCTTCCTCCAAACAGAAGGCACCTGTGGGCGGCTGGATCAACTTTCTCTAGGGACCCCCTGCCAGGTAGGAGATGAGCAGGAAAACAAACGACGACCTGGGGGGGGGCTCCCTAAAAAGCACACCCATATGGAACCCTGCAAAAGAACAAGGAGGAGGAGGCCAAGATGCCCCATGTAAATGATGTCCACCTATGGATGTGTCTGAAAATAAGGCGCGCCCCAAAAACGGGACTCACCAAATTTCGAAGACGTCAAAGAAGTCGCCCCCCCCCAAAAAAAAAAATGGGGCACCCTCCAAAACAAAACGATGGCTTCTCATACGACTCCCCTTCTAAACCCACCAATATGGGGCACCCTCCAAAAAAAACGCCCCCCGTCTGTGGACCATTTTTCTAGGGGGACACTTCCCCATTCTTTCCAGGGATCCTTCTTTCCAGAAAACCATCAGAACCCCGGGGAAACAGCTGGTTTTTGAAAAGAACGATGGTTGAAAAGAATGGGGAATTGACCCCTAGAATTTGTGTTTTTCTTGCTCCGAGTGTCCAAGAGCTGGCCGGCGAAGCGAGTGCCCAAGGCTTTCAGCAGCCAGTGCTTGTGCTCCTCTGCGGGTGCGGGGGGATGGACTTCATTTCGGACCCGGTGCCCAAATAAAACCCGAAGCCCCGGGTCGGTGGGGATGGGGTGGGTTTGATTTCAGGTGAAGCCCGGCAAGAATCTCATCCTGATCATGCATTTCACCCGAGTTTTTCAAGAAAAGTGCAACCATGATGATGAAGACCAACATTTTGAGAGGCTTCGTTTGGTCGAGTCAGCCCTGTCACGAGCAATCTCCGACCGCTGAACTGATCCCAAAGTGACAAGGCGCCAAGACCGGCAAAGCCCATTCCCAGGCAGCACATTTACGCACAGTGGCTGTCCAAAAAAAATTTGCAAACTTGATTTTTTCAAACCGCAAAACCCAAAAACCCACTACCCCCCGCCAAAAAAACACAAGTAGGTCCTCCAGTACAGAGGTTAGAATAAGGGTACCGTATTTTCTGTGTCTATTTTAGTAGGGGAATCTTCCCCCAGAGAAGGGTAAAAGGCACCTAGCTGGGGGACCTAGACAAAAAAAAGAAAAAGAAAAAAAAACAACTCAGGGAGTGGATTCCAAAGTGAACTCACCGACCATCCAGTCCAGCAGGCGTCGCGCCAAGTCCAGGGTGACCTCCGGTGAGGCGTCCCACCTCAGGATCCGCCCTTTGAACGAGGGTGAAGCCCAACAAGGCAAAAACAATACAAATGTTAACCAAAACACGGTTCAAACAGTTGATGGGTCCCAACAGTTGACGCGTTCAAACAGTTGATGGGTTCAAACAGTCAATCGGTTCAAACAGTTGTTGGGCTCAATCAGTGGATGAGTTCAAACAGTTGATGGGTTCAAACAGCGGGTGGGTTCAAACAGTTGGTAGGTTCAAAGAGTTGATGGGTTCAAAAAGTTGCTGGGTTCAAACACTTGATGGGTTCATATCAGTTCATGGGTTGAAACAGTTATTGGGTTCAAACAGTTGATGGGTTCAAACAGTTGACGGGTTCAAACAGTCGATATGGGTTCAAACTCAAACAGTTGATGGGTTCAAACAGTTGGTGGGTTTAAAGAGTTGGTGGGTTCGAACAGTTGACGGGATAGGTTCAATCAGTTGATGGGTTCGGACAGTCGATCGGTTCAAACAGTTGTTGGGCTCAATTAGTTGATGGGTTCAAACACTTGATGGGTTCAATCAGTTGATGGGTTCAAAAAGTTGACGGGTTCAATCAGTTGATGGGTTCAACCAGTTGCTGGGTTCAAACAGTTGATGGGTTCATACCAGTTCATGGGTTGAAACAGTTAATGTTCAAAAAGTTAACGGGTTCAAAAAGTTGATGGGTTCAAGAAGTTGATGGGTTCAATCAGTTGATGCGTTCAAAAAGTTGATGTGTTCAAACAGTTGATGGGTTCAAACTGTTGATGGGTTCAAACAGTTGATGGGTTCAAACAGTTGATGGGTTCAAACAGTTGATGGGTTCAAACAGTTGATGGGTTCAAACAGTTGGTGGGTTCAAACAGTTGGTGGGTTCAAATAGTTGATGGTGCACACAGTTGATGTTGACAGGCTCAAACAGTTGATGGACTCGGACAGTCGATGTGTTCTAACAGCTGATGGTTGAAACAGCTGGTGGGTTCAAACAGTTGGTGGGTTCAAAGAGTTGATGGGTTCAAACAGTTGACGGGTTCAAACAGTTGATGGGTTCAGACACTTGATGGGTTCAAACAGTTGACGGGTTCGAACAGTTGATGGGTTCAACCAGTTGGTCAAACTGTTGATGGGTTCAACCAGTTGATCAAACTGTTGATGGGTTCAGACAGTTGATGGGTTCAACCAGCCGATGGGTACGCGGAAGACTCCCGGTTTTCGGGCCCCGTGAACATAAAACAAATACCTGTGAACCGTTTTGCCCCGTCAATGCGCGCATGTGGTCAGAATTTGTCCCACGAAACGGTTCTTGGGTTGACTCAATACGGTTCGCGGGTCAACGGTTGAAATGGGCGTGGTCTGCGGCCAAAAACAGTTCACGGAGTCACGCATGGATTTAGTACAACCCCTGTGTCTCTTCGGTTCACGGAAGAAAGGCAAACAGTTGCCTTCGAGGCAGACCTTGCCAGAAGAGGTCTTTTCCTCTTAGAGGGGGTCTCCTTATGACAGCTCTTTTTCTGAGGTCAGATACGCTTGTCCATCCACTTGTTGCTTTGGTGGCAGACCAGGACTGCTTTGCCAGGCTGTAACCCCGGCCCTTGTTCAAAACCCTTCTCACAAACGGTTCACGTTCACTCGAAAGGGAACCATGGTAGCCACTCACATGCTTCGCCGCGAGAAGGCGGACTGCCGTTGAAAGGCAAAAAGAAAGCCTAGGCACCCATGATCAGTTGACCTAGGCAGTCTGGCTGGCGCGACGACATGGCATGACATGAACTGGTGAGCCCTAAACCCCGTGCACTCTTGGCATCCCGTGAACTGTCGATACCCCGTGAACTTTTTGGTACCCCATAAACTCCGTGAACTGTTTTTGATCCGATCATGCTGCTGCTCACTCCTCCCGCTCCAGGATCTTTGCCTGGAGCTTGCTGCCTGTGTTGCGCATGCCTCTGCGGTACTCCAGATCAGAGGTTTTCTCTGAGTGGTGTAAATGCTAAAGCACCGCACTTTTCTCGGCGCCGTACTGGGCGCGCAGGTCGGGTGTGAATTGCTGCTCGAGCAGGCCCCGTGCCATACGCTCTTTGGTGCCCGAGGAAGGCAGGACAAATGAGTGATGTCGACTCTGAGGCCAATAGCCAGAAAACAACGGGGGCACCTGGAGGCCCCGGGGCCGTGCTTCCCGTCTTGAAACACGGTCATGTGCTGCGGCCGATCCCAAACTCTTCCTTGTTGGGCAACAAGCGAAACGGCTCACCCATCTGAAGCGATGAGGAAACAGTTTACCGATTGGAAACGGTTCACGGAAACCCTGAGCACTGGGTAGTGGCTGTCACAGAGACGTCTCGTAGACGCTCTGCGCTTTGGGGGTGATCTCTCCTGATCAATGGTCGGGCGGAGGTAGGTGGTTTTGTCTTGAGTCGGATCGATCAAGATCTGACCCTGCCGTTCTCATCAGCGGTAGATATCACAGTTCACTGTGAGGGTACGGAGACTCTTGGACCTCCGCAGTACCCCAACAGGAGGAGCCCTGCGAGGTATGACCGCCGGAGCTCCGCCAAGTGAAGCTCTAGCTTGGCAATTTCTTCCGGCGCGACCCCCGCATCCTTGGCCCTGCCGTTTGGGGTTGTAAACAGTTCACGGATATACAACAGTTGGCCTGGCAAGCGGGAACCCTGGTGAACTATTTTCCCCCTCAGCCCATACCTAGTATCAAAATATGTCATTACTTGATTACGCTGGGGCGCCAAGGCCTCGATTACCGCGCTTGGGAGCCATGATGAAGGAAAGAGAGACAAGTGTCAAGGAACGCTTGAGCTTGTAGAAGGCTTCCCGAACAAATATGTCCATCCGCTGCCCCAAAAGATTCCGTAAACCGTTTTCTCCCCAAAAGTTTCCAGTGACCGTTTTTTGGAGCAAGGTCTCCAAGGCATTGAAACATCGCAGCCTTCCCCATCCAAAAGAGCTAATGCCAATACGGAAGAACAGCCCATCATCAGCCCCAAGGAGACCTCCTGAAGAACTATCTGTCAACGCGCTGGAGTACAATGGCGTTGGCTCTGGTGAGCCACTTTGTCTCCCGTGAACCGAAAGTCTCCATCTGGGCGCGCCATACTCACAGATGACTCCGTGAACCGATCTGCAAGGAGAGGAGAAGAAGTGGTGGTGAAGAAAGAGACTGGAAGTACAATTGAGTCAGTAGGCCCTGCATCACGATTGGCTGAAGCTAGGAAGCTACCTCGTTTGCACAACCTTCGTTGATCCTGCCAGTAGTGATATGCTTATCTCAAAGATGTCGAGTTGACAAAGGTGGAGAGATGCAGGGAGAGGATGCAGTCGAAAAAGAGTTCACGCGGTCGTGTGGGTCGGGTGGAGACTTTTCGTAGCATGATCTGGGCTGCGTGGTTGCCCCGTTCGAACAGAGCGGGGCCCTTGTTGGAGCCGGTGAACCGTTTCCAGAGGGCTATAAAGGCTTTTATTTCCTCTTAGATCCATCTCCTCATGTCTTTTCAAAGGCTTTTTCCTCTTAGATCCATCTCCTCATGTCTTTTCAAAGGCTTTTTCCTCTTAGATCCATCTCCTCATGTCTTTTCAAAGGCTTTTTCCTCTTAGATCTCTTAGATCCATCTCCTCATGTCTTTTCAAAGGCTTTTTCCTCTTAGATCCATCTCCTCATGTCTTTTCAAAGGTTCATGTCTTTTCAAAGGCTTTTTCCTCTTAGATCCATCTCCCCATGTCTTTTCAAAGGCTTTTTCCTCTTAGATCCATCTCCTCATGTCTTTTCAAAGGCTTTTTCCTCTTAGATCCATCTCCTCATGTCTTTCAAAGGCTTTTTCCTCTTAGATCCATTCCTCATGTCTTTTCAAAGGTCTTTTTCCTCTTAGATCTTCATCTCCTCATGTCTCCTCATGTCTTTTCAAAGGCTTTTTCCTCTTAGATCCATCTCCTCATGTCTTTTCAAAGGCTTTTTCCTCTTAGATCCATCTCCTCATGTCTGTTAAAAGGCTTTTTCCTCTTAGATCCATCTCCTCATGTCTTTTCAAAGGCTTTTTCCTCTTAGATCCATCTCCTCATGTCTTTTCAAAGGCTTTTTCCTCTTAGATCCATCTCCTCATGTCTTTTCAAAGGTTCATGTCTTTTCAAAGGCTTTTTCCTATTAGATCCATCTTCTCATGTCTTTTCAAAGGCTTTTTCATCTAGACCCTTCGCCCTCATGTACTTTATCAAAGGCTTTTTTCCTCTAGATACATCTCCTCATGTCTGTTCAAAGGCTTTTTCATCTTAGATCCATCTCCTCATGTACTTTTCAAAAGGCTTTTTCCTATTAGACTCCATCTCCTCATGTCTTATCAAAGGCTTTTTCCTCTTAGATCCCATCTCTTCATGTCTTTTCAATGGCTTTTTCCTCTTAGGAACCTATCTCTCCTGTCTTCTTCAAAGGGCTTTATCTCTTAGTCCATCATCCTCAAGTTCTGTTAAAAGGCTTTTTCCTCTTAGTATCCATTCCTCCATGTCTTCTTTTCACAGGCTTTTTCATCTTAGGATCCATTCCTCATGTCTTTTCAAAGGCTTTTTCCTCTTAGACCCCATTTAGCAACTCATAATGGAACGCCAAGCTTGTCTAGACTCCATCTCCTCATGTCTTTTCAAAGGCTTTTTTCAGCTTAGATCCATTCCTCTATGTCTTTTCAAAGGTCTTTTTCCTCTTAAGATCCATCTCCTATTGTCTGTTTCAAGGCTTTTTCCTCTTTGATCCATCATCCTCATTTCTTTTCAAAGGCTTAGATCCATCTCCTCATGTCTTTTCAAAGGCTTTTATCTCTTTGATCCATCTCCCTCATGTCTTTTCAAAGGCTTTTTCCTCTTCGATCCATCTCCTCATGTCTTGTCAAAGGCTTTTTCCTCTTAGATCCATCTCCTCATGTCTTTTCAAAGGCTTTTTCCTCTTAGATCCATCTCCTCATGTCTTTTCAAAGGCTTTTTCCTCTTAGATCCATCTCCTCATGTCTTTTCAAAGGCTTTTTCCTCTTAGATCCATCTCCTCATGTCTTTTCAAAGGCTTTTTTCTCTTAGATCCATCTCCTCATGTCTTTTCAAAGGCTTTTTCCTCTTAGATCCATCTCCTCATGTCTTTTCAAAGGCTTTTTCCTCTTAGATCCATCTCCTCATGTCTTTTCAAAGGCTTTTTCCTCTTAGATCCATCTCCTCATGTCTTTTCAAAGGCTTTTTCCTCTTAGATCCATCTCCTCATGTCTTTTCAAAGCTTTTTCCTCTTAGATCCATCTCCTCATGTCTTTTCAAAGGCTTTTTCCTCTTAGATCCATCTCCTCATGTCTTTTCAAAGCTTTTTCCTCTTAGATCCATCTCCTCATGTCTTTTCAAAGGCTTTTTCCTCTTAGATCCATCTCCTCATGTCTTTTCAAAGGCTTTTTCCTCTTAGGTCCATCTCCTCATGTCTTTTCAAACGCTTTTTCCTCTTAGATCCATCTCCTCATGTCTTTTCAAAGGCTTTTTCCTCTTAGATCCATCTCCTCATGTCTTTTCAAAGCTTTTTCCTCTTAGATCCATCTCCTCATGTCTTTTCAAAGGCTTTTTCCTCTTAGATCCATCTCCTCATGTCTTTTCAAAGGCTTTTTCCTCTTAGATCCATCTCCTCATGTCTTTTCAAAGGCTTTTTCCTCTTAGATCCATCTCCTCATGTCTTTTCAAAGGCTTTTTCCTCTTAGATCCATCTCCTCATGTCTTTTCAAAGGCTTTTTCCTCTTAGATCCATCTCCTCATGTCTTTTCAAAGGCTTTTTCCTCTTAGATCCATCTCCTCATGTCTTTTCAAAGGCTTTTTCCTCTTAGATCCATCTCCTCATGTCTGTTCAAAGGCTTTTTCCTCTTAGATCCATCTCCTCATGTCTGTTAAAAGGCTTTTTCCTCTTAGATCCATCTCCTCATGTCTTTTCAAAGGCTTAGATCCATCTCCTCATGTCTTTTCAAAGGCTTTTTCCTCTTAGATCCATCTCCTCATGTCTTTTCAAAGGCTTTTTCCTCTTAGATCCATCTCCTCATGTCTTTTCAAAGGCTTAGATCCATCTCCTCATGTCTTTTCAAAGGCTTTTTCCTCTTAGATCCATCTCCTCATGTCTTTTCAAAGGCTTTTTCCTCTTAGATCCATCTCCTCATGTCTTTTCAAAGGCTTTTTCCTCTTAGATCCATCTCCTCATGTCTTTTCAAAGGCTTTTTCCTCTTAGATCCATCTCCTAATGTCTTTTCAAAGGCTTTTTCCTCTTAGATCCATCTCCTCATGTCTTTTCAAAGGCTTTTTCCTCTTAGATCCATCTCCTCATGTCTTTTCAAAGGCTTTTTCCTCTTAGATCCATCTCCTCATGTCTTTTCAAAGGCTTTTTCCTCTTAGATCCATCTCCTCATGTCTTTTCAAAGGCTTTTTCCTCTTAGATCCATCTCCTAATGTCTTTTCAAAGGCTTTTTCCTCTTGGATCCATCTCCTCATGTCGTTTCAAAAGCTTTTTCCTCTTAGATCCATCTCCTCATGTCTTTTCAAAACCTTTTTCCTCTTAGATCCATCTCCTCATGTCTTTTCAAAGGCTTTTTCCTCTTAGATCCATCTCCTCATGTCTTTTCAAAGGCTTTTGCCTCTTAGAGGGGTCGTCTCCGCCTGGATGCTTTCCCTGTTTCAGGGGTCTCCTTATGAAGGCTTTTCTTCCCAGAGGGGTCTGGCTTTTCCTCTTAGTCTAATTATGAATGATTTTCCTCTTAGAGGGGGTCTCCTTGTGACAGGATTTCCCCTTGACCCCGCAAACCGTTTTTGAAACAGAGGTCCCGGTGGGAGAAATATCCATCACTGTTATCCTACAATCGGACACATGGAAATTGGAGTTCCCGTGGACTGCTTTTAGAATTCCCGTGGACTGTGTCTTGTTTTTACTTTTTTTCCCGTGGACCGTTTTGTACCCCCTTACTATATACCTTTATCATTGGGGGTAGCCCCCCCGACCACCCCCTTTGATAAAGGTATATAAAGGGGGTACAAAACGGTTCACGGGAATACTGTAAAATTGGTTGACGGGCGCATATTCCTCAAACTTCTCATGGGTTCAATCACTCGATGGGTTCAAACACTCGAAGGGTTCAAACAGTTGGTGGGTTCAAACAGTTCATGGGTTCAATCAGTTGACGGGTTCAAACTGTTCATGGGTTCAAACAGTTGACGGGTTCAAACAGTTGATTGGTTCAAACAGTTGATGGGTTCAAACAGTTGATGGGTTCAAACAGTTGATGGGTTCAAACAATTGATGGGTGCAAACAGTTGATGGGTTCAAACAGTTCATGGGTTCAATCAGTTGATGGGTTGAAACAGTGGATCGGGAGTTGCTTTAATCCGAAAGTTCCAAAGGGCACATTTGGTTGGTTGAATCTAGCAAGAAGGTGTTCTCTCTCAACGTCAAGTGGAACTGATCGTAATATGGCAACCAATATGTGAGATTCAAAAGGTGGAGATGGTCTGAGCTAAGTCAAAATCGCAGGGTGCTTTTCCGTCAGAAGGAATAGAGGTTCAACCCCCCAATCCAAACCGAAGGGTTACCTGATCAATCCCCAAGCCACCTTTGAAAAATGACAGGGAACAGGCAAAACCTGCAGAAGGTCAGAACTGAAAGGGCAAACAGGTTGGCAACAGAAGCAAGATGCACATAGTAGGAGCGCGGGGCGTGCGAAAATGGCGATATGTCAAACAGTTCTATCCTCTACAAGATTTTGGAGGTTCAAATCCACAGACCATCTATGCAAATCACCAAGGGTTGTCTAACAATGCTTTTGCCACACGGTCTTCACAAAATCAGTCCAGGAACTCGGAGAGAGATTGGCACCATCAGAATCACGCTCGAAGTGGTAGGCGAAAGATGTGGGTGAAATGACTGTGGCTCAAAAACCTGATAAATGGAAGACTGAAACCTGCGGTCCATATCCTGGTGGGTCTATTTTGACCCATACCCATATGGTTTGTGCAATTTGGCTGCTTAGGGAAGCAACCAACCAGTTTCTCACTTCCCCCCGGCTGTCATGGCACATGCGTTGCCGCAAAAAGTGCAGCCGCCCGAAGTCGATGACCGTGTCCACCGCCAAGCAAATAGGCTCCAGGCCCTTGGCAGAGCCTTGCTGAGTCGCCCGGAAATATACAAACAAACACAACAAATAACCAACACAGGACATCCATAGGTTGCTAAAAATGGGGGGCGGAGGTGTCCAAAAATGGAAACACCTTCAAACAAGAAACAGGATCCTGGAAGCACCACCACTTCCTCCAACCTTTTTTATGTTTTTTGTCGTTGTGGATTGGAATGAAGGTTGACCAAAAGCTCCTTTACGTAATGCCCTTGGTTGGAAAACCACTAAAACAGATTTGATATGACTTGATATTTCCCACTCACATGGGAAAAGCTACCCATAGTTGTTTGGGGGCGAGGGATAGTGATCAACACCCAGTTCGACCCTCCTTTGCCACTTGTGTGTTTTTCGAGTTGGTCTCCCTTTTCAGGTCGGTCAAAACAAACACGCGGTCCCCTTTGACCCCCGTCCAACGATCATCCACCCTTGTAGGGTTGCGAACCATTTAAACTCAACAGAAACCTAAGTGGCTGGGCAGACTTAGGCACCCATCCAAAACCCTCACGACATGCTCCGTTGCTCCTTCTTCTCTCGGGGTTACTGGAGATCCCCCTAAAGTTGCAGTTTACTGGTGGGTTTCAACATTCAGTCTGCATTTTTTGGGGGGTAGTTCCAAAACCTGAAATCAGGAGACCCCAGGTTGACTCACAGTGAGCCCGTTTTGCTCCCGAGTTGGTGAGCTCAACAAAGAGGTAACATAGGACATAGGCAGACCTGTATGACTCACCCAGACCTGTATGATTCCCTGACCCCTGACCATGGAAAAACGCGCCCTCTGTTCTTTGGCAGCTGATTTTCAAGGAACCCCTTTTTTCTGGCGGGGATGACATAGACCTAAGCCCACGACTCTCCAGCAGACTCGCGAAGGGGATCAGCTCCTCCCCGCAAGGAGGCGAAAGCGCCAGCACCAGATCCGCCCGCGGCAAGTCATCGGCGTCCATCGGTGGCAGGTCCTCGCGAGAATGGCCATGGGTCAAAAGCCCGGTTACCCCCAGTGAACATCCCAATCCCCACTAACATAGACTAAAATGAGTGGCGCACCTACTCTAAGATGGTATCCTTGGTTTTGATCCACAGCCAAATCGACGCGTCGGATTCAAAGCACTCCCCGTACTTGGGTGTTTGTTTCTACTTGGGTGTTTGTTGGTAAGTAGTCAAGTTGAAACGGCAACGAATACTCACTTGGAAGTCCCCCTAAGTCCCTAAGTTGGGTTCACCTGTTTCTTTACAACCCAAGTGGCGAACGTGGCTGACCACGTACTAACTTGGCGGAGCATCCAAGTAAACTGGGGCACCTTCATAATGGTGGCTTGGATTGGCGGAGGTGGGCGGGGGTTACCTTCCCATTCAGTTTCAAAAGGGGCTATCCCCAAACCACTAATCCAAAATGAAATGACTAAAGAGTGAAATTATGGTCCTTGTTGAGGATAGATGGGAAGCTACCCCCCAAGCTACACACCACCAATCCAAAACACGAATTAGAGGGTACCTTGGCCTCAGGAGAATCTGCTATTGCCTTTACCTTGGCCTCAAGAAAGCCTGATAGGACCTATGTGAAACAAACCCTTACAACAATAGGGAAACCACACCAACATGGGTTGCTTGTGTTGACGCATGACTTTGGATGGTTTCGCCAGGTCTTTGGTACTTTCAAAGAATGTTTCTTGGAGCACACGCCACCACGCAAAAACACGAAACATTATCTGAGGCACTCTTTGCTTCTTGGACAAGGAACCCTGTGAAACATTGGCAGGGCCAGTGAATCGCGGAGGCAGCGGGTTCAAGGGGTGGTGTCTCAGGGGCGCGCCTCCTACTACTACTGCTACTGCTACTGCTACTGCTACTACTACTGCCGTTACTTCTACTACCAGTGATACTACTTCTTGCTTCTACTACTACTCCTACTAAGGATGATGATTATAATAGCCATTCATAACCATGCCCTCCCCCAGGCTGAACTGGAAGCTCCCAGGACCCCTTTGGAAGACTTAGTTCCATGAGGCCAAGTGGGGGGGAGCTTCCGGCTGTTCGTCTGGCGTGTACGGACAACAACCGCAAGCGCCAAAGGACCCCAAGCCGTTCCTTGAGGCTGCGCCAGGCCCAGCGCAGCATCTCCACGCTCAGAATCTCCCCCGAGGGCCCCAGCTCGCGAGTGCACAGCACCGAGCTCCACTTGGCACGCTCCTGAAGAAAACACACACACAAACACAACACACACAACACACACAAAACACTTCCTTGAAAGGGAATCAACATGATCAGCAAACGGACCGTAAATCATTGCGCCCCCCATTGGATTTATGTAAGAAATCCCATGTTTCAACAGTCATTACATAAGTGTAGATGATGATACATATTGACCGATGCTCACATCCGCCTCAACATGATCCCAGCTTAACAGCAGCCCGAAACGCGAGGCGATTGCTTCCAAGATAGTGATACAGATTCATACAGGCCTGACTACAGCCATTCAATCAATCACTAGCTCAATCGAATGTCACTGTCTGGTGGGGTCATGTCTGGTGGGTAAATCCAGCTGGAACCCTCTTGTTGGGTCAACTACTCTCATTCCCAAGCATCGGCGGCATCATGTCCACTTCCATGATTGTTGGAAGCTGGCAACTGCATGGCTTGGGGGAGCAGCTCTTACTCCGCAACATTGGAGGCAAAAGCATTGCCAATCGTTTACCCCTATAATCATGACAAAACGTGGTCACATCATGTCACATCTAAGGACCTTTGGCTCCGGGCTGTGAGCCACCCGCTTGGGTTCGAAAGGGAAGGGACACAAAGGGCCCGGGCGTTCCCCACATTTGGAACGAGAAGCTCAATCTTCACTTGAGCTGAAAGGCTGCCCAAAGCGTGATCGCTGCTCTGTTCGTTCGGCTGCAAGTGAGAGTCTGTCAATGAATCTATGAAATATAAGGGGCTAAATAATGAGAATGGGTTTTTGGGGTCTTCACATGTGATACCCAAAGCTCAGCGCTCCAATGGCCTCCTTAGACCCAATGCAGAAACCGTAGCATCAGGGCGGCATACTTGTTGCATGGGTTTATATATATATATATATATTCACCTGGGTAAGCTTTAAACCACATGGGTCCTGGTCGATGATTGAACACATACCAAGGAGGTAAACCGAAGGAAACCCTCCCCCAGCCAGGAAAGATAGCCAGAACCTTCATAGAAGAGATTCTGATCGAGAGAATTGGATCGAACCATTCTGGGGGGTACAGAGGCAAGGATGTGTTTTGTCCGACAAGAGAACATCAAGAAAACCTCTTTCCAGGGTCCACAATGTTCAGCATCTGTGCATTCTTTCATTCTCTCATTGGTCCGGGATGACTCTGAATATCCATCGAGGCGACCGGAAAAAAACAAAGAAAACAAAGACAAAACACGTCTCCTCCTTGGACATGGCCCTGATGGACCTGAGCTCAATCTCACGGCCAGATTTTGACCCTGACTGGGAACCCCGGATCCAAGTAGAACCGTTGGTTGGTTGATCATTACCCGGGTGCTACTTGTGTGTGTGTGTGATTGGAAGGGTGCCTTTCTAGGTGTATGCCCCCCTTCCACACATTCATAAAATGTGTGTGACTTTTGTGAGGGTGCCCACTTTCGTGGTTTTACGGGAACACCAAAAGGAAAGCCACCATGTTGCGGGGTCCCCTAAAAGACACATCTGTGGAGAGAGAGGTGACGAACTTTCAAAGCAACCTTTAAAGAGAGAGCCGGTGGCACAGGCTGATATTGTTGAGGATCAGGGCCCAAACTGACCCAAGCTTCACAAAGAAACTGACTGGCTAAAGTGGCCAAAGGGGTCTGGATGCGCATCTAAAAGCCCAGGTCAAAATAGAGAACCCGACTAAAAAGAAGTGCCTCAGTATGTGTGTGGATTTTTGAGTCCTGCTTTGCACCATCCGTCCCGCCATTGCTCAAAGTGTGGAATGTAATTGGTTTGCTCTTGATTTGCACAACCAAATGGGTTATTGCCCCCGCAGAAAAATGCGTAACACCCATCAGTGGTTCTCCAAATATCTTAGCACAAGGGTAGAACCACAGCTTCTGCTGATTAAGATAACCACTGGAAATGAACCCGATCTTCTAGCCTTGTGGGTTCGTCATCTTTCACTCACTTCCTAACGCCAGCAAGAGTCTGAACTGCGGCTTTCCCCAAAGAAGCGGCAACTTGGCTATCTAGGGCCAGTTCAGAGATGACCCAATCATCTTATCAGCTACTTGAGAGGACTCGAATCCTAAAGCAGCGTGTTGGATGAACCCTGCCCCTTTCCCGCGTAAATGTTGTTGTTTTTCGTAATAATAATGATTCAAGAAACACGAAAACCACAACCACCAAAACAAAAACCAAAACAAAACAAACACACAACACCAAAACAATTACAACAACCAAAACAAAAATCAAACTAAAAACACACGCACAAAAACCAAAACAGATACAACAACAAAAAAAAACATACAACAACCAAAACAAATACAAAAAAACAACAACAACAAAACACAATCACACACCGAAAAACCAAAACAAATACAACAATCAAAAACACACACACACAAAACCAAAGCAAATACAACAACCAAACAAATCACACACAAAAATCAAAACAAATACCAACACCAAAAAAACACACGCAAAAACCAAGGCAAATACAACAACAAAACAAACACACACACACACACAAACAAAAACAAAACAAATACCAAAAACAACAAACCACACACACAAGCCAAAACAAATACAACAACAAAAAAAACACACACACACACAAAACCCAAAACAATACCAAAACCAAAAAACACACACAAAAACCACAACAAATACCAAACCCAAACACACACACACACACACAAAACCAAGACAAATACAACAACCAAAACAAATACCAAAACTAAAAACACACACACACACAAAAACCAAAACAAATACAACAACCGAAAACAAACACAAAAACACAACACATACACAAACCAAACAAACACACACAAAAACAAAACAAATACAAAAAAAACAACGCACACAACAAACAAAACAACTACCAAAACCAACAAAACACACAAAAAACAACAACGAATACAACAACCAAAACACACAACAACAAAAACCAATACCTAACCAAAGAAAAACACAATATGCAAAAACCAAAAAAACACAAAACCCAAACAACTACCAAAACCAAACAAAAGCACAAAAAGCACCAAAACAAACAAAAACAACCACAAAAAGCAAAACAAATACACCAACCAAAAAAACACACAACAGCCAAACCAAATACTAAAAAAAAAACAAGAAAACACACAAAAACCAAAATAAATACCAACACCAACACAACACACACAAAAAAATAAAAAAAAAATACCAAAATCAAAAAACACACAACAACCAAAACCAAATTCTTCGGAGGCGCAGGCGATAGTTCAGGATCTCCTGCAGCGCCTTGCTGGGCTCTGGCTTTAGCAGTCGCAGCACCTTCACGGCGAAGCGCTTGGCCTCTGCCTCGATGGGGTAGAGGACCTCAGCCGAGCAACGCTAAGCGACGCCAACCACTCATGGACCTTCAAGGGGGCTATGGGGACGGGGGGGCCATCCCTGATTAAGCCCTTATTAAGACCTTACTAAGGGCTTATCCTTGGGCTATCCTGGGCTTATCCAGGATAGCCCCCCCCTAGCTTAAGGTCACTCGTTTTCTACATCTGGGTGAATTATCATATTCTTCACCAAGCTGAAATAAGGTGGTTGTGGGGGCTATTCCCCACAAAAACCACCATTTGGGGTGAGGTTGTGTGAGGTCGTGTTAGGTGGCCTTTTGGAAAAATAGATGGCCCTGGTAAATGGAACAAAACCCATCTAAACCAGTGCCATTTATTTTTAACCAGGCTCACCTAAAAAGGACACCTATGTTGGTCACTCGTTTTCTACATGGCTCGCTGGTTCGATAGGCAGGGAATGAGGAATGGAAGGAGCCCAACAATTCCAGTTGGCTTCCTTTCAGGGAATCCCCAGGTTCATTCCCAAATCCCTGAGTGATTCCCGAATGAGCACCAGCAAGATGGGTGTCTCTTTGTTGAGGGAACCCTTTTAGCGAGGGCCTTAAACGGAAACCAAACGCAAAATTACCATTTTGGACTGAACAAAAACCACACGCATGGCTATCAAATTCAATGAGGAACTCCCTCCCAAATGGTTGGTGAACATACACTCCCACCTAATTGATTTCTACCAGAGGGTCCCCAGTTAAAACTCACAGCCACCTAGGCCTTACTAGAAACCCAATGAAATCAAGTAGTAGAACCATCTGCTAAACTGGCCAACAGGGATTTTGAGCCCTGACTTGTGTCGGTTGGGCACAGCCAGCTTATCTGGCCCATGTCCAAGTCAAGGCCTATGCCCCTGGAACCCTTCAAAGGGACCCTGGCCTTCTGGGCGCTCCAAAGCACGGAGCCAGAGGCTAAGACCCCAAAGCCTTCTCAAGCTCCCTCAAAAAGGGTGGCTTGGAGCCTGGCTAAGGCGTGGTTTCCCATGAACCCTCTACAAGAATCAGGGGTTCAAATCCAAATCCAACCAAATCCCACCAAATCCAACCAAATCCAAACCAAGTGTTGCCCGACCTTCAGCAGTTCGGGAGAACTTCTCCGTAGACAGTGCTGCATCTTGATCCAAACCAGGGGATTTTTTTGTGTGGCTCTCTTGAAGTCTTGGATGCTTCGTACCAAATCACGGGATCTATTTCTCAGCCACACGGACCGAACAGAACACACATTTTTCCGATGCTCACCTAGAAAAAAGATGAACCAACCCGGGTAGATTCATACTGTGGATGGACAAAATCCATTTCGCCCCAGCTGGAATGGATGAAACCCTAAGGGAATGCCACCAACCGGTGCCTATAGCGGCAGTGGGAACCCGGGATCTAAGTTGAGAGTTTATGGGTGCGTTTTTTAGGGGTTCGAGGACATGTTCTACCTCGATCCGGGGTTAGTTGACCTTACAGGGACAACCCCTTCCCAAAGGAAACACGGGCGCCGCAGGACGTCTGGGAGAGGGTCTCTCCCCGAACTATTTGGGAAGTGGACAAGTTATCGGCTAACACATATAAATGATGACTTTAGGATATTCCTTTTGTCTGGGTTAAACAACTGTCGGAGTGACTATCCAGAAATGTTGCCATCTATTTTTCGCAACTGTAAATGGAGCACCATTCCAATCCAAGTACCGGAATACCCTAAAAAATGTGTTGATTCCCCACAAGCCAAACCACTGATCCTTCCTCCGTTGAGTCCAAACGCCTGACATGCCTTGCTAGAGGTCTGGGGCGCTTTGTTTAGATCCTCCAGTACAGAGGTTAGAATAAGGGTACCCTTTTTTCTGTAGTCTATTTTAGTAGGGGAACCCTCCCCCCAAAAAAAGTAAACGGGCACTACTGGGGGACCTAGTTGTCCTTCTCTGGCGAAAGTTGGAACATGCTTGGACTTAGGGCTTTTCGTAGGTTGTTCAGCACTGACACAAAAGCGCACCCCAAAGATACAAGTCGGCCATTTAAAGCATGCCCATGTCCAACAAACCAACAGTAAACCACCATTTGTTAAAGGAACTTGTCGGGGGAGGATACGACATGCTAAACCTGCATTTTGCTTCCGGGCCAACACCTTCAAACACGTTGAATTCACAATTCTTCAATCAACCTCCTTTTGGTGTCCCTTTACAGGAGACCAGACCTTGGTTGTTTGAACAACTCACTTCCTGAGCTTGTCTAGGTCCTCCAGTAGAGAGGTTAGAATAAGGGTACCCTTTTTCTGTAGTCCATTTTAGTAGGGGAACCCTCCCAACCAAAAAAGGGATTAAAAAGGGCACCTAGCTGGGGGACCTAGGTTTACAACTAAAATTGTGCAACTCCCCTGCCCAAAAAGTACCCTCGAAAGTGCCCTCTGATTCTTCAGACTTTTGCTTGCAACCATCAGGGTTTGGTGGTTTAAACACATAAGCCCCAGTTCAAAGGCGCCCATGGTTGGGCCGTTTGAACTTTTTGTTGCCCCCAGCCCTCGCTCTCAGACCCGAGCCGCTTCCTTCCGTAGCTGCTGAAAGGTGCGCTGGTTCCGCTCCGGCGGGCACACGTCCACGCGCGCGCCCCAGCGCTTCAGATCTGCCTGATGGGACCGAGGGTCCCGAAGCTCTTCTCAACCCAACCTGTTTTTCGACCTGCTAAAGCAAGCAAGACTACTCAGTTCCTGAGTGGACTGGCCCAAATGACTTCCAAACTTTACCACTTTGGCACCACCATAACAAGAATTGGCAAAGAGAAATGCGGAGTTGCGTTTGGAAAACCTGTTGCTTCAACCTGTAACCCACGGAAGATGTGGATTTCAGGTTGGGAGAACCAGGTCCCTTAAGCTGAATGCGCTTGACAGAGGCCCTTGGCCACCCCCTCCAACTCCATTTTCGGTCCAAAGCCCAGCTGGGTGCTGGGGGGGGGGGGGGTGGATTAAAGCCCACGTCCAAACGGCTGCTGGGTGCCGGGGGGGGGGGGGTTGGATGGGTGGATCCACTCTTTGTGTTTTAGGTGTGACCTGACAGGACAGTTGCTCCCCGTTTGCACCACATCTCTGCCCGGTGTTTTTCGCCGAGTCCCACTTCGCAGGCGAAACTCGCAGGTGCGTGGGAAACGCATTTTGCTCGCCCAAAACGCTAAACGTGAAAGATCCAAGCCGCTTAGGGATTCAAGAAGGGTCGCTTAGTGACCTCTGGTTGCCCAGAAGTTCTTGATCACATGATCATTGATGGTCCAAAGGGTGGCAGGCAGAGAGCACCTTGCGGGGCGCCCTGGTGAACCAAGGGATCCCCCAGAAAAGCAAGCTTCAGGTTTTAGTCAAAGGCGGTCGCAAGTTCATTCATGCTATCTTCGGATGAACCCGTAAAACCATACAAAGTTACTACCCTCCTACCAACTAGCATGGAAGTGCACAAAGCGACTTTCCAAGAGGAAAGTATCGTCTTTCTACAGGGGTCTGCGCACTTCCATGTTAGTTGAAGGGAGCGTACTAGTAGTCAGGAGTAAAGAAACGATCGATGGAGGCCATTCCTCGAGTCCTTGACATCCAGAAGCCAGCCCTGGGCGAATTTCGGACCCCGACTCCAGCCCCAAAAAGTGACCTTCTAATTGGACCTGTGCCAAACAAGGAGTTGTTCATGCCGATTGCCCTAGGAAAAGCTCCGGAGGAAAAGAGCCACACTGTTGGAAAGTGCCGTTTTTTGAAATTCAGCTCAAGCACTGGGCATTGCCAGCAAACGGAAAAGAGAACCGAGCCTTGATTTGTGCGGGCATCCACAGTTGATCTTTGTTGCAAACACAAACTGTTCATTGGGCAGAGCTCCTACTTCCAGCCCTGACCTGCAAACTCCGACTGTATCTCACTTCCTGAGTAGATTAACCACAAACCTTCTAGGTCCTCCAGTAGAGGATAGAATAAGGGTACCTTTTTTCTGTAGTCTATTTTAGTAGGGGAACCCTCCCCCAAGAAAGGGTAAAAGGGCACTACTGGGGGACCTAGCCTTGTTTCTGGGTTGTCACTGAGATGGTCTTCCCAAAAAGTATCAAGTCCAGCACCTCAGGGAGCGAGGCATACCCCCAAGACCCGCCATGTGTTGCGCACGTCTGTCACGCGCCCGAACGCCTGAGTCGCCTTCGGTACGTTTTTGGCATCCAGCAGCTGTCCGAAGAAGGTGTCTGCGAAGTCAGAGGCAAGAACCTGACGGGGACAAACACTTCGTCCCCGGGCAAAAAAAGAAACTACGAAAAGGAAATCCGGTTGCTTTCCAAAATCAGGAGAAATAAAGATGTTCTGAAACGCAAATGAAGGACTTTGGATATGGTGGAACCACTTGTTCTTTCACACCAAGCATCAGTAGTGACCCGGCCCCTCTCCATTGCAGGGGAAAAGGGATGAGTTGGACCTCAACACATGCCTTGTTGAAGTCCCATTTGCCTTGTTGAGGTTGTTCGAACCAGACTTGAAAAGCATTGGTTTGGTCTCCCTTTAAACTATTGCACCTATTGCAAGTATTGGCACTTGTGTTTAAAGAACATATGTTCGTTAAAGCCATCATTGCCTACATGGAACCTGACCAAAGGTTTCTAAAAGAAACATGATAATACATAACATTGCACGCAAACATGTTGTCAAAATAGACTTGCATTGAGCCCAATGTTGGACCTTGTTTGCTGTGGGGCCCGCCCCCCCTTCCCCCCACCCCTCAAACAGTCAAAACAATGCTCGGGGATCCTGAATCAGGACGCAGGGAGCTTGGATGACTTAAGTATTGCAATAAGAATTGCCACAACTTCGTTGAGTATTGCCAGCACTTCCTTCTGAGTTGCCACTGCTTGGTTTAGTATTGCCAGCACTTCCTCTTGGATTGCCACTACTTAAATCAAACCAGACTTTTTGATGGTTGGGGCTTAGCATCACACCAGAAATTATCAGACTCAGCTCTTGGCCTAGTCCCTTGCTAAGCTTCTAGATGTGGAACCCCGTTTAAAAGCAGGAGGCTAAGATCTGACCTGGGGATTCCTAACCCACCCACGCCTAAGACTTGATGGGCATTAAACATGGTACCCAAACAGTGCCCCTGAAAAATGATCAGGGCCCCTTGTGGGAAAGCCTGTGCAGGACTGTCTAGGGGATTTTGATGGTTGGGGCTTAGGGTCAAACCAGGAATTCTCAGACTCAGGTCTAAGCAAGAGGCTAAGATCTGATCTGGGGATTCCTAGCCCGACCACCCCTAAGAATGTTGCTCAGATTCTTTGGACCGGGATTTTTTTGGGTCTGAACTTGACATAAATCATGGTACCGAAACAGTGGGAGGGTCGTGTTTAAGCCGGGGAAACTTGACATAATTCGGACTACCGATATTAAACCAGGTGCAACATGAGTGCTTCCAGTCAAGCCACTATGGTCGGCAACCAGCGGAACGATATCATGAACAACCTGGAGGTCATAATGCCGGCTTACCTACTGTGGCGGTACCCATTTTCAGGCTGGCATGAAAGCTGCCACGACCCCTTTGGAAGACTTTCTTCGAGCTTCCAGCTGTTCGTCTGAGGGAGTGTAACTGAAAGGGGGCTGGGGCCTCCTGGCGGAAGGCGTCCTCGTCGAGGATGCGGAGCCTAAGGCACAACAAATTGGACGCGGGCAAAGGGGGAAGTTCTTTTGGGCGACGGGCCAACAGCTTGCTTCTTCTTCTTCTTCTGTTTTTTTGTGTTTGGGGGGAGAGTGGGGGGTGGTGGAGCATTAATTGGATTGGGTTGCAATATCAAGGGACGCCCTCAAAGCGGGCTTCTTCGCCCGCTTCAGAAAACCCACCGCCGGAAAGGTTCAACAGGAACTTGATCGAAGGGGTTCTGATAAAATCTGAACCTGAAAGGAACCTTTCTGTGGGCAGGGAGTCTGACGTGTGCTGTGCAGGCATCGGGATGCGAAGACACCAGCCAGACGGACCTTACTTTGGACTCGTGTCCATGCATAAGTTTAACTGTCTACAGCAACACTGACTCGGTGGCTAATTCGTTTGACCTGTAGCAGAAAACATGGAAAATGCCGGGAGCTCCTTTGATCTCCTTCGGGTGCTTGATTTGACAAGGCCAAGTGGCCAAAGTAAAGAGCAATATGTTGAAGCACATGATCCCACACTGATATGACTCTGAACTTACCCGACGTGCTAGACACTTTCCGGGTACCCCGTGAGATTTGAAAGGTCACACATCAAACAACAAAAGTTGTCTCAACGGGCAACTTGCCAATTGCGTCTGCACTCGCAGGCGCCGCTTCTAAACTTGCAGGAGTTTCTTCAACTTTGGTAAGGGCAAGGAACAACCAAAGCAAAGCGCAAATCATCAACAAACGGGGACGGGCTAGGTATCAAGCAAAAAGAAACACGTTGTCGAAAAGGGTTCATGTGTCAAAGACCGGACGGGGCGCGCTTCTTGTTTCTGGAATACGGCAAGAAATGAAACACTGAAATCATATATATTTATATATACCAAACACACCTGGGTATAGGTCAAAATTAAACCACCAGGATATGGACCGCAGGTTTAAGTCCGTGGTTCCATTTACCAGGGCAACCTATTTTGGGGTTACCCTATTTTTGAAAACCACAGTCGAATGAAAATTATCAACCTGGAGTCTCCATGACCCTTTGAAAAATTGGGTTATTACCCAAAATTCAGGGGTTACAGGCCCCTTTTTCTAGGGGTGGACCTGAACTGAAAACGACAACGGTCAAACCAACGGTCTTGCGAGCCCCCTTGAAACCAACCAGATGAGCGCGGCCTGGCCAACGTCTCGGGTTTCTCTTTGGCTTCCCTACCGACCAAAAGTGGAGCCACCATGTTCTCGGCGGTACTCCAAACATATTATGCTGCGATTTTGTCTCAGATTCAGTATTTAATATTATATATATAATTATATATATATATATGCGTCAACAGGGGCCTTTGGGGGGCCTACCTAGTAACCGCTTGATAACCTTAAGGGCAACTGGTTCACTCTAGGCTTAAGGGTAGTCCCTCTCTAGTCCTTTCTGAAGGTCCAATAATGTCACACCCCAACTTGCTTGCTTCTCAAATTCATGAAGCACAAAGTCCATCCATCGGATCCTTGATGAATATGGGTCTCTCGCTTTTTAGGGGACCCGCTCGAACGGTGGCGTCCTTTTGGCTTCCATTTAAAAAGACCACCAACAACCAAAACAAGATACTGCCAAAAGAGAAAACGAGACACATCTGGGTCGTTTCCTTTTGGCTTCGAGGAAAAAACAACAGGTACTGACAAAAGCGAAAACGAGACACCTCTGGGTCAAACCTCAGCCCCCAGCTTCTTGGTGAGGCTTAGCTCTGCAGACATCCGCAGAAACTCCTTGGCGCGGTCGCGGTAGGTGGGCCAAATCCGGGCGCTGTAGTCCTGACGAATGCCCCACGGGGAACGAGGGAATCTCCCCATGTTTTCCGAATTTGCCATGGCTTTTGTGGCTGGGCTGTCCTCAGATCTTCCGCTAAAAGCTTACCTTTTAGTGGGTTAAATGGAAATGTCCACAAAGCTAAGGGGATGTGGCTGGTTTCTCACTTCCTGAGTAGATGACCCGAACCCTAGAGGGCTACCCTGCATACCCTCTTTCCTCACTTCCTGAGTGGACTGGCCCAAGAAAGCCCAAACTTCTTCTTTACCACCAAAATGGTCTTGCCAAAAAGTTTAAAAAAAAAAAAAAAAAAAAAAAAAAACGGGGACCGAGGAGTGGATGGGACAAACACAAGTGCAAACCTTGCATTTATGTTTGAAACGGTCTCCCAAATCTTGTATTTACTCACTTCCGAACGAGTGGATGGGCCAGCAAAAGTCACCAACCATTTTGTTTCCTTGAAACTGTTGGCACTGCAAAAGGTGTACCGACATGGAACATGACGTTTCGGGGCCTGGAAGACGATTTTCCTTTCATCCACGGTAATGTGGACAAAGTGGCTGTTTTACGATACCAGAAGAAACACTTGGACAAGTGACGTATCTGGTAAGTGTTTTACGTAACCATGCGTGAAACGTTGCCAGGACAAACGTTCTACCAGAAAAGTTCAAGGCAAAAGATCCAACCCAATGGGGTGGTCCCCTGGGTTGGGACACCTCACTTTGACCGAAAGTTTGAGCGGTCATACAATCCAAGTGCTGCTCGTTCCCATCTTTGGATTTGGAGCATGGGAAATAGCAGTCGTTGGGGGCTTGTTAGGGGCATGGTATATATATATATATGTATGTGCTAAATAGGGGGGCTGGAAACATTGACACATGATCCGCTTTCCGTTTGGAAATTAAGAATTATGGGTTGATTAACACTAGTCCAACACTCCAAGTTCTACAGGAATGCAACCAATTTCCTGTGCGTAGATTCACGCGTGGAGCAAGTTTCTTACAGGCACAACACAGTCGCACGCACAATTGAGAGTTCCGTTTTTTGCAACAACAGCTTGCAAAAGAAGAGTCGCCAAATGCGAAGATTCACACACATGGAAAGACGACATCTCCTTCTTGGAACCCTCAGCATGGACCTTTCGCTCGTTTCACTCCGTGCGAGCTCCTGTTCAAAGGGAAAAGGTGTTTCTACGCAAACCACGAAGCCCACCCGGCAAGCTGATACTAAGTCTACCCTTTGATTTGTCAGGTTGGTTTCAATCGAAACCAAAAAGGACATAAACGTATAATATATATTTTTGGGGGGTGCCCCGCCCATATAAGCATATATGCCCATAGAGGAAAAGCACATGACATATTCCAGAAACTGGCGCACCCTCGTAATCCCATCAGACTGTCCAGTCCTAATTTCACCCCTGACAACTCCAAGCTTTTTTGTTTGCAATCCACCCTCGTACCCCCCCTTAACACCTCCAAAAACACTGTTTTGCTTCTCAAACTGCCACCTCCCGCGCAGCCCCTCCCCCCAAACAACTCCGTAAAAACGGCGTTTCACCTCGCCAAGGCCCACCCTAAAGACTTAGCCCGAAGAGCCGCACCTGCAGCGTCACCCGGCTCAGGACGCAATCCTGGAAGCCTCAGCTGCCGAGTTGCGGCGCTCCCCAAAGAGCGTACCACGCTCCCCGAGGAACGTGCCAAAACCAGGGCTGAGCTGTGACCAGGACTCGATTTGTTGCTCTGGATGCAAGGACTCTATGGATGACAAGGACCCTTGCACTCGATTTTTCTGCCCAGGACTCGATTTGTTGTTCTCCTCCGCTTCAGGTTGCGGACCTCCATCCCAAGGATTGGAGGGCCAAACAATGGAAGTTGTGGGCGCGACATGTTAGGGAGATTCCCTCAAGACATTGGTCCAACCGCCTGGGCCTAGTCGAAGAAGAGCCATTTGCCAACGTGTTTTTACCAACCATGCAGAGCGAGGGGCAAAACATCCAACCGGGAAAACCCCTTTTCAGGAGAACCCGCAGGGTACTGAGCCAGCAGCAAAATGCCGTGTTTTTCCACAAGATGTCAGCGGCCGCTGAGGCCCACCAAAAACAATCCATGGAGTAAGATGCCTTCAATGGAAGACCTGGTGCGGGTTCTCCGTTGAAACAGACCAACATGGTTTTGGCTATCTCGGGCGTCCCGAAGTAAGGTGCCTTTGTTAGCCAGAAAAGTTGAAACCCTGTGACATCTTTCAATGTGGCAATTTGGTGACTTCCTGAGGATCGCCCAGATTTTGTCTGGTGAGAAGTTTCTCCCCGCAGTCACACACAAGCATGAGTCCTTCAAGACGAGATTGAATAGTGACCTGCTGAGTTGACTGAAACGCCTGCTGAGCTGACGGGAAACATATCTTGTTGTAGATGCACCAACCAGTCCAGTGTGTGTCACAAGATATGCAAATGCGAAACCAGTCGCGAGCGGCTTGTGTCGCTTACAGGTCAGGCCATGGGTACTTCATGTTGCTTCGGAGTCTGGAGAGAGAAGGCTCCGAACCGACGACACATACCAAGCAAAACCGACGACTGATCTACCGATGACCTTAAAAAGTGCTGGTCAAACCACATAAAAGCTAACGTGCTTCTCAAACTTACCAACTCAAAAGCTCCAACAGCTGAGAAACCGGCTGGTTGAACCAACTAGGTCCTCCAGTAGAGAGGTTAGAATAGGGGTGCCATTTTTTCTGCAGTCTATTTTAGTGGGGGAACCCTCCCAAAAAAGAAGTTGGTGAGAGAGGGCACTACTGGGGGACCTAGCATATGCAACAAAAGGTGTTGTCTCACATTGGAATCAGGACAAGTTTTCGACCACTCAGATTCGGCGGAAAGAATCTAGAAACCGTTTTGGATGCGCCTTTTGTGGATTTCACCTGCCTGTTGCTCCTTTTTTAGTACTCTTTTAGTACTCTTTTAACCTTCTACAGGGGTGGAACCACAGATTCGCCACATCCAAACCGTTTTCTAGAAACAAGTTCAAATCGAGTCGGATGCCTGGTTGAACCAAGCTAAGGTAAGTCCATCGAAACATGCCGCCGAAGCGCAGCCGGGCTCGCTGGAGGAGCACAGCACGATCTCCTCCGCGTCGTGGAGGAGCTCTCGGCACCCGCAAACGCGGTCGTCTGCGAGGACCAAGATCTCCTAAATTGAACCCGTGGGGAAAGATGAACCTCAGTGCTTCGTTGAAAAATGCTTTATTTATTCGATGTTTTACTTTTTAAAGAGTAAACTACCTAACAGTGATTAGTTAGCCCATTTGTAATGTGTGTGTGTGAGTTTGATTGTTCTTTAGGGATATACAGGGATAGATGTCACAATATATTTTGGGCATGCATCCCCAAACTGCAAATGGTAGTGTCTCTTTGTTTCGGGGCTCCTTATTCCTCTCGGTGTCTTAAGGCTGCACGCCAATCTCAGCTTGGTGCAAAGGGGCATCAAAAGGAGAACCACCATTTGTTGGTCCCGCGATTCGTAAATGCTCCTGTGAATGCTCGATGTTACCACCAGAAATCGAAAGATGTATTTACTGTAGAACTTCTAGAACTGATCAATAGATTATTTCGTCAACCTCTTTACATCTGTTGGATCGTATCTCGATTGGTTCGCGTCCAACCATCTCTGTAGGTGTTGCCCATTCAGTTAACCCTGAACCAGTAACAAAAAAACAACATATTGATAAACTGCCAACCAGCCGGTGCAAAGTGGATGTGTTCGATCCACGGTATACGTCCATTTGCTTTAGTCCCCTGGGGAAAAAAGAAACAAAAACAAAAAAACATATATGTCCACTAGTGATAGATTCCCTTCAAAATCAACAGGGGGAAATAAGCAATATGCTTAAGCAAATGGAAGACGAGCAATGGGAACAACTCCGCTGCTTGTGCGTCCTGGTGTTGATTGCGAGGCGTTTGTGGCCACAGCAGGGTGTTTTAACCATGGCACACATGAACTGCTTGCGGCCAGGCTAAGGCGTTGCGTTTCTTTGTTCCCTGTTGCCAAAAAAATAGGACCTAGTCATAGAAGTCTAATTAATCCTCTGCAGCAAGCGCGTCTTGTGGTCGAAAGCTGGCTGGAAAGGACCCCTTTTACTCATTTTCTCCCTCAGCAAAAAGTCGATTGTTTCCAATAGATCTCTCGGCCGAAGACGGGTACACCGTTACCTTTGAACGGCTCGAGCACTCCCGTGGGTGTCTTTTCGGAGGGCTGTGGGGTCACTTGCGACCCGCCCATCCGGTCACTTGCGACCCTAGGTCGCTTGCGACCCGTGCGGTCACTTGCGACCCATCAGGGGTCGAGCACTGCATCCACGCCTACCACCTAATAAGCACACCCGCTCACGTGCGCCCACACATGCCTGCCACCTAGTAAGCGCACCCGCTCACGCGCAACAGCTGGGGTGGGGTATTGGGGAGGGGTGAGGTGGGGTGGGGGTGGGGTGGGGTGGGGTGGTGGGGGTGGTGGGGTGGGGTGGTGGGGGTGGTGGGGTGGGGTGGGGTGGGGTGGGGCACACCCGCTCACGCGCGCTTGCCCAGCACTGCATCCACGCCTACCACCTAATAAGCACACCCGCTCACGCTGCCACCTAATGTGCACACCCGCTCACGTGCGCCCGCACATGCCTGCCACCTAGTAAGCGCACCCACTCACGCACAACAGCTGGGGTGGGGTATTGGGGGGGTGGGGGTTGGGGTGGGGTGGGGTGGGGCACACCCGCTCACGCGCGCCCGCCCAGCACTGCAACCTAATAAGCACGCCCGCTCACGTGCACCCGCCCAGCACTGCGCACACGCCCTGCCACCTAATAAGCACACCCACTCACGTGCAAGACATGGGGTGGGGGCGGGGGTTGGGGTGGGGTGGGGTGGACGCCGTGTGTGGATGCATGTGAGATCGTGGACGCCGTGCGTGCGTGGGCGCGTTGGTAGGTATGTGGATGCGCAGGTGGCTGGGTCCGCGAGCGCGTGGGTGTCTGGGTGCCTGAGTGCCAAGGTGTGCCGGTGCGTGCATCAAAAGCGTGAAACTACGGCAGGTCACAAGCGACCAAAAACACAGCAAGCGACGAAAAAAAACAGGTCACAAGCGACCCCCCGACCTTTTCGGGCGAGGTACCGATTTTCTCGGGTGGTTGTAAAGAAAACCAACAGGAAACCCACAATTCTGGGGTGCCCTAGAGAACGACACACCCACTTCCCACGAATCGAACGGATTCGCGGATTCGCCGAGGGTCGCATCCGGGGTCGTTCCAGACCCGCAAGTCAACCCGAAGTCTCTCAAAGTCGATGGCATCGGAATGCGTCCTCGGCATTATGCACTCGACAGGCTAAGCATCCCGCAGGGGGGTCCTGGTGGATTTGTTGAGCGCTTGCATGGGCTCTTTTGAGACATGTTGAGACCCAGATTTGGACTTTATTGGAAGATGAAGCTGGGAGGGAAATCGTTTTCTAGCCACCTGCCCACCCCTCCTTTAAAAATCGAACAAATGCCACCGCATGCCAAGGAGGTCCAGCCACAACTGAGAAAGCCATGTTCTGGGATTTCCTTAACTCTAGCCGCCACCACCGCCCACCCCCCCCCCGCACAGATGCTACTTGAATGAGAATCCGACCAACGGGGAGCCCAATCTCAAATGTTAGAGATCTTTGCAAGAGCCCTTTTCTCGGTGTATGCTCCAAATGCAACAACAACTCATCACTTAGCTGCTCAAATCCCCAGCCAACTGAAAGTATCCCGAAGAAAGCCCACTCCACATCACTCCATACAGAAACATTGTTGCACTGTACACCGAGGGAACACGAACTTGGGATTCCGTCGCCAAGCTAGAAAGTTGTAACGGTAACCTTGGCTATAACCACACTCTTGAGTACCTTTTGTTGGTAGCTGCGAAAAGGGACAAAGGGGCACCGGATCAAACGAAAGGCTATGTTAGAGGATGTGGAAAACGAAAGAAATGCCCATCCCGAAATGTTGGTTTCCTTTTGGGATTGGGGTGTTGCATTAGTAACCCTTTTGCCGCCGTGTTAGATTCTGTTCTCCGGAGCGGAGACCCCATTTTGGTTGGTACTGCAGGCAAACCGAAACACATACAACCCTGTGGCAAACACAAAAAAGCACATAAATCGTTAGGGGGAGATGCCAACAACCGTGTCTTGGCCCACCCCAAATTTCAAGGATAGTCTAGTCTGCCCTACAATAGCACATACCCAACGCTTCTGGATACGTATCCTATTCTAGGTAACCGGAAAAACCATCCGTGGTAAAACCTAGAGCTAAGGAACCCGAAGGCTTCACTGGTGGCTTGCGGCCCCGGAAGCGCTCTGCCGGGTTTGGAGTGGATAGGTGTTCCTTCGAGTGGCTTCCCTTTTGACCTGAACCAAGGCTTGCAATCCAAATCCAAATCACCGAATTGAGGCTAACTTGAATAGTCCCCCACCCCGGAAAAAAGAAGAAAACAAAAAAGAAGACTGGAATATTTTCGATCGGGGTTGTCCACTTTTAGGAGGGTCAACGCCCCGCTGGGACGGGTTCTACAAAGATCCGGGGTCGCCACCATTCTCAACCTACTCGGATGTTCGGCCACGCTGGAGTGGTTAGCCACTTGGGCTACAACTCACGGCCCCCTATTCATGTTGACCCCGGATGAATAAACCCCTGTTTATCAATATGGAGGTGTTCCCCTCAAGTAGTCTGATTCCCCACTAAACCCGGAAATGGACACCCCCTAAAAGAATAGACTGGGGTTGATTCATACGGGGTCAACACTACTAAAAAGGTTAACCCCATTTGGTTGCGGGTCAAAACCTAAGGTGCCTTTTTGGGGATGGTTACCACTCCACTGTTGTCTTTTTAGAAGGCTTTCTGGGTGTACCGGGGATTTGACCCATAGCCATTTGTCGGCGACAGGTTGGGCTGCCGCCCCTTCCGGGCGAAGGCGCCAGTTGGCGCCGCCATTCGCCTGCGGTACTTCAGCGGCCGGGCGCAGGTAGCAGTCCAGCGACAGCACACGCAGCCGCGCCTCGCGAGCGGATCCAAACCGAACCCTCCAGGTCTGTTTGGTTTTGTGTTGCCGAAAGGGTGGGTGGGTGGGCGGGCGGGCGGGCGGGTGGGTGGGTGGGTGGGGTGGGTTAACCTTCTGCAAGGTAAAATGGTGGAACTCCACAGCGCAAAACAGCAAAGCAGTTAGTTGAGCCTGGCAATGTCATTGTTCCCCCTTGAATCAGATCACCAAAGCCCCTTGGAATAGACCGCTGTTTTAACCCCAGCAGCCATGGACAAAAAATAAATGCCACTCCTTTCTTGGCTTTGCGACAAGGGACAACCCACTGGACACCCCCAAACAAAGTCAACCCCCAAAACTTTGAACAGTCTGGGGGGTGTTCAAGGGGTGGTTGCTTGTCTACCCTCCACAAGAACCAGGAATTCAAATCCAAATCACCAATTAGGGCCAGCTCACAATGTCGGTTTGGAGTCCTTTGGCCTTTTCTCTGGCTGCCCTTGGTTTCCCTTACCTGCCCAACCTTGGCCAATTGCCGCGCTGAAAGCTGGGCTCGTGACAAAATCGAGCCGAGACCCAATGGCTTTGGCTGTCTTTTTGGTTACCCTGACCAACCCAAAACAAGGGTACCTTAAAACACACACACACACACACACACACACACACACACACGCGCGACAAACAAAACAAAAAACAACACCACGTTCAACAAATGGGTCCTGTAAAAACGGTAACCTCCAAACAGGTGGGGCACCGAGCCTTTTTTGTTGTTTCTTTCAAAAACTCAGTTCCTGAGTTGGCGGGCCACACATATTCCAAACTTGTTATTTCCCAAAATGGCCCAAACCTGAAAAGTGGCTAAAATGCTTTCAAACGGAACTCAGGAAGTGAGACGTGTCTTAACGTTAACGAAACATCTCCTGTGAACCGACAATCGGGTCCAAGTCTCAGATACCCAGTGAGCATTGGAGAAAAAAACAACATCCTGTTTTTGGTTGGTTGACTTTGAAGCAATCGGAACCCTTCCAAAAAAACAACAAACCAACCCACTGGGCAACTGGGAAGTGAAACCCTCATTAGTTCCTAAAATGCTCCAAAACGGGACTCGGGGGTCATGTAGACTCTACTTGGTTGCTGTTGACCCCCCTTCAAAAAGTGGAAAACTTCTTGGGGGTTTAGTGGAAACCACATTTATTTCAACCAAAAAGTGAAAGTATAAAGATCCAACCCAATAGCAGTCAAGTCTAGGTACATTCTCTCAGTTGTTCAGTGACCCTGGAAAAAAGGGACCCCTTTTTGGGGGAAGACCATTTTTAGTGGGGCAGCCAAGAGGGAAAATCATTGGTGCCACTGAACAACTGAGTCTAGGTGCGTCTTTTTGTTTGAACGAGACGCCAAGAGAAAGACCGAAACGCCGCCATCTCTGGCGATCGCCTCCGCCTCCGCAGCCCGCTTCAGGGCGGCGCGGAGCCGACCCCGGGGGCTGCCCAGCACCAGCCAGAGGCGCATCCGGACGGGGCGGTGGGGTGGGGTGGGGTGGGGTGGGGTGGGGTGGGAGGGAGTGGGGGGTGGGGGGGGGGGGGGTTTGAAAGGGGGGGGAGGGAAGCATTTAGACCTTGCAAGGTTGAAAAAAACAGAAGGCCAAAGAAGGAAGGTGACTTCAAGAACATGTCAACGGTTTTAGACGCTTGCAAAAACAAAACACTGCCGAATTAAAGGTGACCTGAACGAAAATCAACTCCCAAAATGGTTTAGGGAACCTCTTTTTTCAAAAAACAATATACATCACCAAACATAATGCCTTCAACAAAAGCCTCTCCAACAAGAGCGTTGGTTTTAGAACTGGCAGTTTGCAGATTTAGGGACTCCCCCCTTTGAGCACCAAGTCCAAAATAGGGGGCCTTCAAGCCACAGGCAGAATCGCTCTTTCGCGGCTCCGTCAAACTTGCTTGTCGCGTGCTTCTGAGCCTGCAAGTCAAAAGATGGACATGGTCCGTCCACACATTGAAGCACAACTTCAGATGTTTATTTTTTTTTGTGTGCCCCCCCCCCAAAAAAAAATAAAATAAAAAAAAAATCAAGCCCTGCAAGAAACAAACAAACAGATACTCCCTTAAAGAAACCCTCACCTTGACCAAAACTAACTTCTACACAAACTCATCGGCGAAACGACACGGGCAACATCTATGGTGAACACGAATACCCTAATTGCCTGTCACGAAGAGATGCCTCTGTCACAGTGCTCTACCAACTAGATCCTGACATGTGGCTGTGGGTCAAAGCCCATGGATCCGATTTTGGGGTAGGTGCACCAACCAGTTTAGTCTATTTTAGTCTGGTTCACTAAGATTACGGGCTTTTGACCCATGGCCATGTGATTCTACCACAGAAACATCTCCTGTTGCGGGCTCGCTGACAAGGCACCTGTCTGAACGGCGCGGTCCCTTGCTACATCCAACGCCAATCGGAGGCAATTCCGTGTGTCCCTCACCTCTGACACCTGGGTGAACTCCATAACGCCTTAAGGAAGGAACAAATGGCACGGATGTAAGGCTGCGTGTGTACTGCCACACGGAACCTGACACATACAGCCCTTTCAAAGGTCAAGAAAATCATAGTCTCTGCTCAGAGTGCAACAAATGCGGGTGTGCCAGCAGGTAGACCCAACTTAAGAGTGTTCGCTCAAGGAGCCACTGAACAATAGTTTGGTTTTACCCATCATCACCACGCCCCTTCAAACCAATGGAGCAAAGTCTCGGCCGCAAGGGTCCATGAAAGCGAGGAAACTGGGTGCCCGCCCCGAAGAAGGCCTTTTGCTGGATCACCTTATGTTCCTGGAGTCTCATTCTGACCCGTGGAAAAAGGGGTTGTGGCCCCATTTTGGGTAATGACCCCATTTATGAAGGGTCATGACTCCAAATTCAAAAATGACACAGCCGCTTGTATCTTCTGGAACATCCTCGTCGAACAGCTCACCTGGGAAGTCACCAACTTCCACAGTGACGAAGGTAGAAAACCCCCTTTGGGCCCCAGCGGATCACCCCAGTGCCGGCGCTGAAGTTACCAGCCGCGTAGTCCTCTCGCACGATCCTTGGTGCCCGGGCTTTTCACCCGGGACTGTGGTCAAAAAACCTTCATGCCAAGGGCTAACCCTGGCCCTAAGCCTGTGATCAAGTTGAAGTTAGAAGGAACCATTGACGTTTGCGCTGCGCACAGATAGGAAGAAAGGATGAACGCACGCGAGAAGACATGCGCGGGCATGTTGGCGCGGTAGTAGAAATCGCGAAACAGAGTGACCCTCCAAGCGGGTGTTGGCGTCTCCGGCTGGCTGAAAGTTGCCCTGATCGCGACGTTTCTCGCAGCGGTTTCGGAACTGGTGCGGAGCGGTCTTGGAACGTCGTGGCGTTTCGCCGCATCAGTTTGCGTTGCACTTCGGAAGCCAGAGGTACAGATTGCATGGCAAGCGCAGCACTTTTGCACAGGCGCAGATTGCGTGGCAGGCGCAACACTTTGGCAATGGAATGAGTGCTTCGGAAATGCCATTGGGGCACGGACGCGCGCAGTATCCCGGGCGGATTTTGTGGCAGGCGCAGCACTTTTGCAGAGTCAGGGAAAAAGAAAGAGAGAGAGAGAGAGAAAGAAAGAAAGAAAAAAAAACAAAAAGAAAAAGAGCACAAGAACAGAAAAAGATCGAGAAAAAAACAGAAAGAGGAATAAAATAAGGAAGAGAGCCATGCGGGAAAAGAGAGAGAGAGATAGAGAACACAAGTGGAAAAATAAGGGTAAACATAGCAATGATAAAGACACAGATAAAGACAAAAAGGAGAAAGAAAAGAAAGAGGAATAAGAGGACAAATAAGAGAACACATAAAGAAAAACTGAGACACACAAGGAAACCGGAGGAGAAAAGATAAGGAAAACGAGCAATACATAGATAAGATAAATGGAAAGAAAAGACAAACAAACAAACAAATATCATGATTCAGGAAACAACCATGCAGAAAGGAGAGGCAAACACAACACAGAATAGTACAGAAGAACAAGAAGAGAGAGAAAGGACAAAACAAGAAAGAACAAAACATAACAAGAGCAAAAGCAAAAGCAAGAGCAAGAGAAAGATTACGAGAATGAAGGGAAAGGGGAAGAGAAAGAAAGAGGAACAAACAAACAAAAACATGTTAAATTATACAAGTCTGACTCTGACATTACCCCCCCGGCTCTCTGGTAAGCCAAGGACAGAAAAAAAATATTGGGCCTCATGGCCAAAGCCTGCTCCCCAGACCGCCCCCCATTGGAGCCCTTCACCTGTTCCTCCAAAACCCCAACGGTCCACTGGTTGCGGTCATTGGCAAACGCTGGCTGGGGATTCCTGATGTCTTGTTTCTGAATTGTGGGATTGCAGGAGCAATGCAAAGGTGTTCCATTTAAGAAGAATCAGGATCAGTGTTTGGAAACCATGTATTTTCGTTTGTCTGCCAGGTTGATGAATCGGATTCCAGGATCCGCAATCCACTGGTTGATCTTGATCACGGGTGTCCCATTTTTTGAAGAAATCTGGATCAGTTTTTGGAAACCATGTATTTCTATTAATAGCGGATAAATCGAGGTCGACATGTCCCCATGTTAATACTCTGTCGGCGTAGCAACGCTACGAGCAGACTAACGGTCTAACTGCGATAAAGCCTCAAACAAGTGGCGTGTAGGCAGGATGGCGGGGGGGCACAGTTTCACAATGAATGGGTTCAAGCCGACCGAATACCCCCGCCGCGATGCACGGAGTTTGCCATTGAACCCCCAAATCTATACACCGCGCACACACACACACACACACTCGTCTTAACAATCTAAAATTGACCCCACTACCACCAAACATCTACTGGAAAGAAAGGTTTAGATTGCCCCTTCTTTCAAGGCAATTTTCCTGCCATTTGCTCCTCGGGGGTTCATTGAGCCTTAAGAAGATGTAACATAGTTCCAAAGAAATCGCAGGGAGCGCCCACAACCCTTTGACCTGATACATCAACTTTCTGAAGCCAGGTGAAAAATCGGCTGACGCACTAAAGTGACTAGGCTCCAGTTTTCAGAGCTTCCCAAGAGCAAGATGTGCAAAAACTGTTTCATATGGGTGTGTCTTGTTTTTGGGGACGATTTTCCCTCACTTGCGCGAAGGACCAGGACATACAATGTTTTGGAGCCTTGACTAAGCTAGACCACAAGGGACAGGTGAAAAGGTGGGCTTTGGACAAGTGAGTATTTGGTCAACCGCAAACTGTACCATTCTTGAGGCTACCCAGGTGACAGCGCACACTCTGGGCTTCCGCTCTGGGCGAACTCGGGGTCCTGCTTTCCAGAGAAGACCTGACCCAACGAAGCCGTCCTCATCTACATTTGAGCGCCCAAAAACTCATTGACTGTTGCTTTTGCCAACATAGCTGTAAGCTGTGTATAGGCCTTATTATCATCCTTGTCAGGCAGTAGGATCACCTACTAGAATGGCGCTTTCGTGCTTTTGGAGGTAATTCCAATTTGCAAGACGACCAACAAAAGGTTCTGAAAGTGATGGCCTTCGGCGTTTCATGTGGGTTTGTGCTTTTGGTGGGTACCCTTTTGGGGTGGTTTTAGCTGGAAACAGAAGACGTGCCCAACATACCATTCGGCCGCAAAGGGCCAAATGGTGGCCAGCATTCCATACATGAAGTCCCCAATATGTGCAGAAAGTAAATGGAAGACCTATGCAATTTGCCGCACCAGGTTCAGCAAAAGACACCTCCCAACTCTACGTTCGAGCTCCGTGCAAGACAATGAAAGCCAAGCAAGCAGCGCCTTGGCAAGCAAACCCGCTTCAAGAAACCAATCCGCGAGACGCAAACAGGGCCTGGCTGCGGCACATCGGAGCATTGGGCCACGCAGGTTTCAGCAAATGTTGGTTTGGCTTTTGCGTGCGCGGGCTGCGTCTTTGCAGCGCTTGCAACGACGGCCAGTGTAAGCCGGATGCCACGCAAAGCAGCCTGATTCACCTCGTCAAAACTGCGCATTGTTGTTCAGCATGGAAGGCAGTTCCCATCAGCAGCCCCCACCATCGCCCGCATCACCGGACCACCGCGCCCACGCCTGCCCACCTCTACGTAAGGAAAGCGAGTGAATCCGCACACGCGCCTGGGTGGGAACCACCTGATTCTCCGTCTTGTTCCCAAACTGGCCTGCAGGGAAGCGCATGGATTCCACGCAAGCCGTCGCCATTTTTGTGGTCTAAAATGGTAACCGTTTCCTTTGAAATTCCCTTCGAAACACCAGTCGAAATGATGTTCTAAGCCATTCTAACGGGGTGATGTGGAAGAGCGGACGGTTGAAGAACGCCGGTTCTCGTTTCACAACGTTTGACCATCTGCTGAAACAACCTCCTTGTGGCCCCTTCAATGGGGATGAAGGTCTTGTAAAAAAGCAAGGTTGCAATCAATCCTGGTGGCCCGCGGAAGTGTGGTTGCGTTAGGGTGGTGATATATGGTATACGCATAAAGCTTAC